ACTCCGACACCAAACAAAATTGTTGATAAAAAGGGTAACAACCTTTTATATCTTAAAGTCCGTTACATAAAAAAAAAATTGTTCTCATTTCCCGACCCGCTCTGTGGACTATGGCACCAAGCTTCTATCACACAATAGAAAAATGTCGAATTACCTACTTTCTAGAATCATGTATGTATGTCGGAGTGTGGTTCAGTTCGACACTGGGGCTAATTTCTATCGATCATTCGCAGTTGATTCTTCTCTCCGACTTGAGTTGTATTTCTTCTTCTTCGTCTGCTTGGGCTGGTAGTTTCTTGTTTCAACTTGGTGGAAGATTTCTTGTTTCAACTTAGCCGCAACTCTCTGTCGCCTGAGGTGGTCTCTTCTCACTGCCGTCCGGAGCTGAACTTTAACTTCTCATCGACTTTTCGGCTTGTCTGCAGCTCAATTCTTCTCAGGCTTTCAGGCAATCTTCTTCTTCGTCTACTTGGGCTGGAAGTTCTTCTTGTCTGAGGGTTCTTTTCTCCGCTGCCGTCCGGGGATGAACTTATGTCTTCTACTTGGGTGGAAGGATTTCTTGTCTGAGGATTCTCTTGCCCATAAAGGGGCAGTGAATCGGGCCTGATGGCCGCGTTCAGGCTCCATCCCTGCCCGCGGTCCAGCTGCAACTCTCAACTCCAACTCCACTCTACTCAACTGATTTCTGTCGACTGGGGTCCTGCTTATATTGACGCCGCAACAAACTGGGGTGGGTCTGTCGGCGTCAGGGTTTTCTCGATAATTCCAAAACTGCATTAATTCTGTCTTCTCCATTATCGCTATTGTTTTTCGCCCCTACTTCCTCGCGGTAGTACCTTTGGTGGGGCTGCACATCCATCTCTCTTAGTCTCTCGTATGTCAGGTGACCGCTTTTCAACCAATCGTTCCTGATCGAGCATTTCTTTCCTTTTCTTCCAAGAGTCACGGATCGTATTCGACCAATTGTTATTGATCGAACATCCTCTCCCCTCTGTTTGCGGGCGTGGTTACATCGTTCTTGTTTAAAAAAACAAAATCCAATTTTTCCCTTTTGCACGTACGCAAAATGACAATCTTTGGCTTTCTCTCACCCGGACTTTGTCAAACAGCCTGCTGCTAATTAGTCTTGACTTTAGAAAGGATCTTTTCCGCCTTCTTGGCGCCCTCTGTGAGCCAAAAGCAATTGTCCCTCTTTTTTTACCTCTTTGTTTTTACCTGATAGTCGAAAATCTTAATTATCTACATTGAAATGTCTCTACTTTATTAACGTGGTGTCCAATTCTTAACAGGTCTGTATATCGTTCCACCGTCACCCCTCAACCCAAAGACACTTTTTCTCTGATTAAAAATTGTTTCATTGTTCCCAAAATTTCTCTTTATCCAAATTGATAAGGTGTCTTTCCATGCAAAAGTAGGCTAGGTGCTCTGACCGATTCTCTTACCAAAATGACTTTCGAAAATCGCCAAGACGCTGACCTAAATCTCTTTCTGACTCTATCTCCACCCTCAATTGGGTCATCGTCATACATTTCTTTTTTTCTTTTTCTTCCTTCCTTCCTTTTCCTTTTCTTTCCTTCTTTCTTTCCTTAGGATCGTCTAGTACACTCTTAGTGAATTATTTTCAACTCAGTTATTTTCCGTTTTTAAAAAAAAAATTAACAACCTGTTTAATAAACTGAGTAAGAAAAAAATTAAATCATATTTCTAGGAATATTTCTAATAATGCAAGGTGCCACACATGTTAGCAGGGTTTTAATCAAACAAAATTTAAATTTATTGTTCTCTGAAATAAAATTTGATCAGTTTAAATGCATCTAAACATAAAAATAATGTTCAGCTCCATTAGACATTATAAAATACTCTTTAAATTTCGTTCATTTTAACAAAAAGTTAAAATTCGGACAGAACTTATGGGATGACCTGATAGATAAAAAAAAAATAACAGAACAACAGAGACATGATGAATATCTCTCTCCCTCATTACATTATACAAATAAACCCTAGATTAATCCTAAGTTTAAATTAAACTTGTCAATTTTGTTTTCCTTGTTACATTTTTTTTATTGTCTCATAAAGCCTATTGGGTCATGCTAGTCATATGCATAAAATTATAATTTAATTCTTTTATACTCTTTTTGTTTTTTATTTGGTGAATTAGAGATAATGAAACTGTTTCGTTATAAATATGACTAACAAGCTTAAAATTGATATTTAAAATTATCAAAAATTCTTTCATTTTTAATCCTTATAAACCAGAAGAAAGATTTCAATAAAAAGTACAAAAAATATGAGCATGAATCATAAAAACAAATTAATCCTTTACAACAAAAATTGCTTTATCAATAATTTGAATAACAATGCAAAAGGATAAAATTTAATTTTTCACAAAATGGTTTGATCATTGCTTAACACATTTAATGCATTAATAAAAACATTTTTTGGATACAAAAAATAATTTTTCCAGTGGTCTAATTTTGTTTTTAATCATTTTAGCCAAAGAGAAACTGGAATAGGGTTGTGGCTAAAGCAACAAAAAACATTTCTTAATTTTTATTAAGAGCTTAAATAATTAATCAAATAATTTTATATAAATTTTTAATTTTTGATGCATGCAAAATTTCTCTGCCTTGCTTGATTGATGTTAGTATATTTTTTGATAGGTTAAAAATGCATAGTTAAGTGAGAAACCAGGAAATTGTCTGCTTCGGTAGAATTACATAATTTAAAAGTACAATTGATTTTTTGTAAATTGAAATATAAATATTTGCATTTATATCTCTCGTTTGAAGTTTGTGTGTGTGTTTGTGTTTGCATGTATGTTTTATGTTTATACACACACAGGGTGTTTGGGTTAAATTTGACAGTTTAATGTTTTTATTTTTTTCAAATTGGTTTAGAATATCTGTAAACAGTGAATGACATTGTGAAACCTAATCACTACAGTTTTAGAGTTGTCAAAATTAACTGGCATAGATGAGTAGAAACCACTTGAATATTGGAAAACAAGATATGAAATGGAGAGCTGCAGTGGAGACTACGAGATTGTGGCTTGTAGGAAAGAACACAGCAGACGTTCTGATTGTCTATGTACACCAAACTTAATCCAACAACTACAAGTGAAAGTGATGGAAGACCCAGGCAAAGAAATGTGGGCTTTGGCATGAGAAGTAGGTTTTGTAATTTCCACCATGAAGCTGGCCTTGAATGAGGACCTCCACTACCAGTCATACAAAAGGTGTAATGGTCAATTTACAGAAAACCGTCTGACAAAGGCAAAGAATCTCCTAAACAAGATGAAACATCCTGTTGAATCAGTGACAATCTGGTTCTTCACTGATGAAAAGAATTTTTGTCAGGACCAATTGCACAACACCCAGAATAGATGGCTTGCTTTGATCCATATGATGTTCCATGTGTCATGAAGACCAAGTTTCCCCAAACTGTGATGGTTTTTAGGTGTGTCTCCAGTGAGGGTGATATCATGCCACCCACCTCAAATCTTTGAACAGGGTCTCAGGCTCAATTCAGATGGCTATGAGGAGGTGCTGAACAACATGGTAAAGCCTTGATTGGAGAGGGTGGCTTCTGGAAGACTATATGTGTGGCAGTAAGATTCAGTTCTCTGGCACACCTCCAGGAAGAGTCAGAAATGGTTGTCAGATAATTTATTTTTTGCCTTCACCAGCTCCAATGTCTGGTCCTCTAACTTCTCTGATTGTAATCCCATCTAACTCCTCTGATTGTAATCCCACACTGCCTGTCCAGCTGATTAACAGGATTAAGGAGGTGTTGGGGGCTCTCCCTAAGGACACCTTAAAGGACGCATGTGCCAGATTCCGGATCAAGGCTGTGGTAAATGCTGAGGGTAGCTTCTTTGAGTGAATTTTCTTTTGATTATTGTAACCTGTGTGCCACATTTCTATTTTTCCAATAAATTGATTTATGGCTTAGATATTCACTTTGTTTCCTTTTTTTTTTTTTTTTTAAAAAAAAAAAAAAAAAAAAAAAATTTTATATATATATATATATATATATATATATATATATATATATATATATGTCAGACATTGACTGATAACATCTTTGCAGGCAATGAAGTCAGTTACAGAAAGTAGCAGATGTAACAGCAGTTGTTATAGATAGTGGAGCTACTTCTAAAACAATCACAAATCAAATACTGTACTGCAATTTCTTTCCTTTTTTTTTTTTTTAACACGTATATGGCAATAATACTGTTCACTTGTAAAATTCTAGCTATCTGAAAGAATGGTACAAAGGTGATAACTTCTTTTGTATCACAATACCAAGACTCCATGCACAAAAGTTGTTCATTTATGAGGCTTAAGGGACTATGTGTTTATCAATAATTTGTTAAAAAGATGAAATCAGTCAGTTTTATTAATATAAAGGGAAGTTAATCTAAATTTGTTTTTCTGTTGCCTTAATATTTATAAATTTAAGTGTATTTTTCAGAAAAGACAAAGCCATTTGTATTAACTAATATTTAGTTAACAAAATTGTTTTTTTTTTTTCTTTTTAAGCTTCAAAACTAGAAAGATGCAATTTTACCCACATCTGTACTTATCCCTTCAATATATTTAATCTTGAACATTCTATTTGATTTATTTCAAATTTGAGAGAATTTCATTTTTCAAAAAAATGAAAAGAAATGCTGATTTCAAACTAGAATAAAAGACTCTTTCATGATAATTAGTTTTTATAAAATCTGCACTACATCTATAATATAAATTTTCCCTGAATTAGAATAAACATTTCCTGTCTTTTATTGTATAAATAATATTTTCCGTCTGGCCACAACCAAATATTTAACCAAGTGAGAATTCTACATACCCCCAACCAAAGAAAAAAAAAAAATTAAATAAACACAGAACAAAGAGTTTTCCCTTATTTCAATCCATTTAGATTTTGTATAATTCTGAAACCATTCTGTATGACGTAAATCTCTGCTGCATAAGACATGTTTGTGTTTTTGCTTTCAGCTTATACCTACTTCTTCCCAGATCAGCCACAACAAAATCCACAATGGAACCACCACTGCTACAATCAAAAGATGATCGTCTATTGCCACTAAGTATGAAAGAGGAGCCTCTCAGTGTCCAAAAAATTGAAGCTCTTGAGAGTCAGACAAGTCTTGTGTAGTATAATGATGACCAATTCTGTTGCCTTGCGACTATATCTCTTCTTATTTTATATCTATTGAATTGTTGATACTGACATAAAACTCTGGATTTTTTTTTCTTTCTGATAAGTTGGGTAAAGAAGGGTCCAGTTCTCAAAGTTCGGATTTCATCACATCAGAGTTAGGTATATTTTGTTGTTGTTTTTTTAATATCTGTATATAACCATTTTGGTAACATTTTTTTCTCATTTGAAGACATTTCAAAAACCACTTTAATATTATTAACTTTTCCATACCTGAATTCTTATAACTCCTACAATCATTACCATACAGAAACTTTGTTATAACCATGAAATTCTTCATCTATGTATGTCATCTGGCTTTGTAAAAGTATTCAAGAGATTTTCAGTTTGTGAATTTTGCCAGCATTCAAAACTCATTTGTATAATTCGTCATTTACAAATTTACAGTCTATTTTTATGCTGTACAGGACAAAATTTTTTTAAAAATATGAACGCAAATTTTATAATTTAAAATGTAAAATAAAGTCAATTACAGCAAAATGTATAATAGAAAATGTTTATCTAATGAGTGTTGTATTATTTTACAGAGAATAATGATATACAAGCCATCTCAATTGTAAACAATTTTTTTTCATTCTTGATCTTAAAAATTCATCTATTTATATTTTTACAAAATTTATTAGTTTAAAAACATACTTGCTTTAATATGAATTTATATTAAAAATGTTGTATTGGCTGTCCTAATTTCTTAGAGAGGGCATTTTGATTTACATATGCATAATATAAATGGGAACAGTTAAAAAAGCTGCAACTGTTCCTGATACTATAAGCAATGCCAAGTTGATTTCTTGAACAGTAATTATAGGATACTTTATTGAATATTAATTAGTACTCTAAAAAGCAAGTTTCATTAATTTTTATATGTGGATACAAACTGAAAATTCTATGGTAGTGTATAAAAGTTATTACTTTTGATTTCTTGAAATCTGAAATATTTAAAATAAAGGAAAGCCTACAATATTGACTTGCATAAACTTACACACAAGTCCCATTTAAAAAAAAACTGATGGGCTTTGAGGTGAAGAATTGTCAACCACAGTTCCAGCTCCTTGTTGTTGCCAAACAATTTCCACCACAGTGGAAATTTGCTGGTGGCAGCAAATAGATGATAGTCAGACAGGGCAAGGTCCAGGCTATATGGTGGATGTGGCAGAACTTTCCAACCCAGCTTCAGCAGTTCCTGGTGAGCCTGCCTTGCAATGTGCAGATGATCATTGTCATGAAGAAATTGAATATTACTCATTCCTGGACACAATACACAACCATTATAACTGTGGTATTGGCAGGGAGCTGTCCTACTAGATGCTCACCTCAACATCTACAAATGCATAAGAAATTTTTGGTTGAGTAGGAGAGTAACAAAACAGCCTTCTCATCTGAGGATCAAAGTTGCTGAATTGGGGCCAGGAGGGAGGTGTGGTGCCTTGCTGACTTTGCTCAATAATGGTGAAGTGGGATATCCTTAGCCCTGCTCCCAACCAAGTTCACCTTCATGAAAACACTTGAGCCAAGCTTGTGCTGTTCATTCAAACATTGTCATCGCCAAATGCAGTAACCTGGCTAGGCTGCTTTCACTCCAGTTTTGAAATCATTCAATAAATGTGGACCTTGAATAGAGGCAATTCAGATGCCACAGAAGATGCACTTGATAAGTGGTGAATGTGTGAGCACACACTCCTATTTATACTCTTACAACACCAAGTTCTAGAATATTTGAGGAAACAGCTAATCAAATTAAGATTATTTTACCATACATTTGTATAACTCACATGGTAAAAAAAAAAAAAATTATTACTGCAAACTGGTTAGCATTTAAACATTGTTTTTTCTATGGTAATTCCATTCCGATCATCAAAAGTAAAATGAGATCAATTTTATTATTAAAACTGTAATATGTTATACTGGCATTTGAATATATTTTAATCAGTGGGGGATAACATGATGATTTTATTAATCATATTAACTTTACATATCATTATTTGCATGTTATTTATATATCTTAAACATTGAATATATTTGTTCCTTTAAATGAAAAAAATAGACACTAATCTTTAGAGAAAAATGTCTCTTCTAAACTGTCAATATAAAGGAATAATCTTCAACTAAAATAACTAGAATTATTTCAACTTGTCTTGGTTTAAAGGAGGGGGAATATTTTATTTCCTTATAGTACTAGAGGTTTCTATTTAAGGGTCTCACTTATCTATAAGGAATAAGGTTTGCTAGAATATATTGTACTTCATTGTTTTTTGTCTGATGAACAAGTTTTATTATTGAGTAGTAACATGGAAATCATAGGTTCATCTTTGTTTTAATATCTCTTAGTTTGTAAACCTCCTCCTCAAGTTATTCTTGCCTTTTGAGTCTTTCTTGTTTTCTTTAACTCTTTGCTGAAAGACAGCATAAATTTCAATAAATTACTCTATAGATTTTATCATTCAACATTAGCCATAAAAGATTGAAATCAATTTGTAGAAATACACCGACGTTAATGTACATTGAGAATGAAAGATTTAACCAAGATTTTGATAAGTTCATTTTTGGCTCAAGTCTGGAGCAGTTTTTTTTTTTTTTTGCACTTACAGAAAGTTCTAAATTTATCGAGAAAGAAATATACTTTAAAGCCATGGATGGTAATGATACTCCATTTTGCAAACAACTTTCTGTTTTATGTCAATTATATCTTAGAAGATAGTAGCCATAGGCGACTTTTTTTTTTTTTTGCTAATGTGTGATAGGATTTAAAGTTGTTAATGGGAGGCCTGCTTAGGTTGTCATTCATATTTTGTAGCCATACTTTGATGAAATGTATATGGATTTCAGATTCAGTAACCTTCAAAACAGCAAATTGTTCTTTGAATCAAATGACTAACAAGAGTTATTACTTCCTACATCTTGCTATTATTAGGATTCTGATGGAAGCTGCTGTTGACAAACTTTCAGTCAGACTCCTACTTACAAGAGACAGGACACTTGTTTCCAGATGCAAGTCTTTGCTCTTTCAATCTATCTAAACTTTTGTCATTCATTTTAGATTATATTTTCATGAACCTGTTTGGTCCCACTGACTTAACTTTCTGCAATCTTTAAAATTAGGTTTAAATGAAGAGTTAATTTAAACCATTGTCTTTGTCCTGTTTTGATGTACTTTGTTGTTTGTGCTCTCTTTCCCCCAATACATTTTTCACCTGTTTGTGGATTTCAAAAATTTAGTCTGTGTTCGTTTATTTTAAATACACTTAGTGATCAAAATTTTTTATAATTATCTATTACAAAAACAATTATAATATTTCTATTCTGGGGCGGAGGGTTGAGGATAATCACTCAATCTTTGTTTACTTAGTAAAATTCTCCAATATTTATAGAATATACAAGTTGAAAATCTCATTAAAAATAAAATGAAGACTGAGTGTAAAGCCATATCTAAATTATCAATGACATTTGGAAAGTCTCATTTTTGTTTGTTTCTGTTACTTCATCCTTACTTGAATACAGGTTTTCTTTTTTAAAATATATGGATTTTCTTTATTTACATGGAATTTTTTTTATTCAAAGTTACCACAATGGCAACAAAAAGGACACTTATACTTAACATCAGGAAGAGGCAGTTTAAATTTCTAGGGCACAAGAAAAGAGGGCTTGGAAAATTTGATATTCCCAGGACAGATTGAAGGTAAGAGGGCCAGAGGAAAGCAACGCACAGCCTACCTGGCAAGATTGAGCAAATGGTTAGTGGATCATAGTTTGGGAGAGATGGCAAAAAGACAATTTATTAACAGCTACAAAGGCCAGGGAAATGTGAAGAGCCATGATCACCAATGTCCTGAATGGACAAGGTTCAGAAGAAGTGTGATACAAGTTCATTAAATACATTATCTCTTCAACAATAATTAATGTTCCTCTTTTGATTAGTAATTTTTATAACATTACTTTGAACATATTTCGACTAATTGCAGTTTTTTTCATTTTAGTTCAGTTGTATTTTGGATCTTCAAATACAAAAATCAATTGTTAGAACGTTCTCCTTTTAACATACGATATTTTTTTTCCTACAAAAAACACAAACAAACATGGAAGTGTGAATAATAATAATATTCTCTGTTTTGCCAAGATTAAATTTTCTTTACTAAGATTTTCATTTATTTCTATAAAAAGCCCTTAGCAATTGAAGCTGATAATACTTTATCAATAACTTGAGAAGTGACCTTTTGATTTTGAATAGATTTTGGTTAGAACAGAATCACTCATGGCTTTCTAGAATGGATCAGTTTTCAGAATCTGTCTATTTTTATTTAATTTCAAAGATTATGTATAAAATACATTTTGTAAATAATTAAAAAAAAAAAAAATTTATGTAATTTCCACTGATATTGAAACGGTGATCAGCTAACTGATGAATTTCTTTTTTTGGCCATTAAAGTTAAGAGAGAGAGAGAGAGAGAGAGGCATAAAGTAGATGATTTGAAGATAATTTACCTGTATATTCATATATGAATATCCAATAAGTGGCAATTAATATTTCAAACAGCTACAACATATCAAGTTAGCCACTTTTATGAACAGTATGTGAGGGCCTCTCTTACAACATGAGAAGTCAATTCATGTAAACTTTGCATTTAGGTGGAAATATCATTTTATTACAATATTTTTTATATTATGATAAAAATAAAACTGATTAGAAAATTTGTTCATGTATATCCCCTATTTGGTATGGGCATAAGGGACCGGTTGAATTAAATATATTTGGATAATATGAACTGGATGGACTTCTGTGATAAACTGTAAAATTAAATCTTTAACATTGAAGTTTTGTTTATTAATAAAGTATTTTACACATTTTAAAAACACTTGTGTCTTTGTTGATTAAATTTGTAGAAAATGTGAGGAAGATTAAATTAAGTTTAAGGGTGAATATTGAGCAGCTGCTTGCTCAGACTGGGAAAAATTTGATCTCTATAAAACATAAGTTTGAATTCAAGTAAATTTTACATTTCTTTTAAATAACATTTGATATAGTTTTTATACATTAAATAAATATATAAAATTCATACCAATGCTATGATAACTCTGAACTTTATAATTGTCATTAACAATTATAATGTTCAGAGTAACTTTTTAAAATTGATTTGCTTTATTTATATTTGACAACGCTTAAATGCACATTTATGCCTGAACAATAAATTTCATGTAATAATGAAAGATCATTTGAAAAGCAATCTATAAAGACCTGCAAATCAGTTTCTAACTGGATGGTATGTAATGTAATAAGTAATGATTAACATTAATTCATAAATACATTTTTAATGTTATTTGAATGATTTAAGTTTAGGACAGTTGGTAGAGAGAAGCAGCAATGATTGAACCTGTTTTCATATCCTAAATTTATCATGAATTAATTTGACTGGTCTGAAAATAATATTGTTCTTCATTTTATTTTTATACTACTTCGCTTGTTAGCTGATAATTAAATTTATCACCTATAAAAAGGTTCTATTTTGAAAATACCAGTAATTTTGACACATTTTTCATTGAGCAATATTTTCTGTATTTCTCGGAAGTGTGATTCACCCTACAAATCCAGTGTAACACATGGACAGTAAATAAACTAAGACAATTGGATCAAAATAAAAAAAATTATTTATCTTTACAAATAAAATTTCAAATTTTGTGTATTGATGAGATGTTTGTACATATGAGAAAATGTTGGTTTCAGTCAACTGAAGTTGGTGCTGTTAACATGTAGAAAAACCCTGGGTTCAAACATGTCAAAAATTCATTAAGAGTTTGTTTTTTTTTGTAGTGGGATCTCAATCTCTCTCTCTCTCTCTCTCTCTCTCTTAACAATATTATAATCAAGAAACAAAACTAAGCCACTTTGTCTGAGAAGAAAATGTTCCTGAAAAGGTATTAACTCTTAAATAATTTGAGGATTAGGCCATCGTTATGTGAAGATAAATACCTGGTAACTATCAACATATTAGACCAACATTTCCCACCTCCCTTCTGCAACCCCCGCTTCAATGCAAAATACAGCAGGAATCCCAGTTCAAAACCAAATTTCCATAAGCAAATCTTCATCGAATTCCAAGCAAATATATTTTAAGAAAATAAATTTGTTTTGTAATTCTCTTATATCCTTAACAAAAACAAGGTATTAAATTTTGCACAGGCATTATGAAGCATATTAAAGGTAGGTATTTTCCAGGCATAAAGCTTTTTTAAAATTTTTTTTTAACTTTAGAAGAGTGTATAGCACCAATCTCCTAGTAGGTATGGAGTTATGCTAATTATTAAATTTAGCATAAAAAATGTTCTTACTAGTATTTAACCAGAAACTGATGGCTCCAGATAAACTCACAACTGAAGTGGCAGCAAATGCATGTTCCCTTGAAATCTAGACAGCATTTCAGGATTAACACAGAAAATGCAAAAGACTTCAGAATTTACTTAAAAATAGAAGGAGTTATGAAATTCGATGTGCCACACAGTTGTCATTCACCAACAGCACTGATGTCAAGTGAGACCCTAACACAGTGCCCAAATTCTTGGTCAAATAAAGGAGAAAATTAACTTGTTCAAATTTTGCAAGAAGTTATAGAAAAAAATGGTTTCATACAATAAGCAGTCATTCAATCATTCAGAAAAGGGGCTTTAATTGGGGTCAAAGGGTCATGATCAACAGTTTGATGTAATAATAATCCAAGGACACCAACTCTGTTGGACATAGCAATTCGAATGTTTCGCTCTTGTTCAATTAATTCATCTAACTTCATCCACTGCAAAGAAAGAAAAAAAAAATCAATGAGAATGTTAAACAAGTAAAAAATGTCAAAATATACAATGATAAAAGAAAGCATAAGTATTTCTATCATATAAACTCTCAAATAACAGAATAAAGATTTTAAAATTTGAAGCTTCTAAAAAGTTTGGCTACTACATGCTTTAAATTGAAAATGCCAACTGTATTTGTAAATATTTTAACGGTTAATGTGTTAACTAATCAAGAAGTTTTATGTGAGAGAACACCTGGCAGTGTTTAGCAGTCTGATCTATTAAACCTTTCAGAGCAAATGACAAACTTTTTCAAATGAGAACTGTAAATTTGGATTTAGTTTTTAGATAAAAATTGCTATGTAAATGCAAAAACAGTTGAGAATTAACTGTAAAATACAATTTTTTTTTTAAGCTTGCAAAAAAATAAAAAATAAAAAACATTCTCAATTTTTTTTTTTTTTAATATATTAATGATATCATTTTTCCTTCCTTTGCAATATATTTAGTTTTCTGCTATAGTAAATAGACTACTGTCAAAAGTTGGAAAAAAAAGTTCCAAAAACAATTTTTTTGTGCAAAATTTGATTTATATATTTTTGTACACAATAACATACTGATGAATATTAAAGAAGATAAGCTGATTACAAGATAAAGTCACAAAGGACAATGAAATCTGCATTTACCTGTCGAACACGCTCCATATCTATTTGTGCTCTTCGTAATTTTTCCCAACAATAGTGTTTGTTACATTTGCGTTTCTGAACACGGCAATACTCGCCAGTTTCCTCAAATACATTAGAAAGGAGTGGACAGCCACAAACTTCATCATGGCTCACCTAGAAATATGAAACAAGGGATTAATGCCAAGAAAAATTACAACCACAGTAATAGGAAATATTGGTTATGAGAGTTTGAGGGAGAAAAGAAAAAGAGAAGGATTACAGAGCAGCTGCAGCAAACCATTTTCTACACAACATTTTCTTTTTGAACAAAACCAGAGTTAAATTTTATATTTTCCAAAAATTGTAATAATGAATAAAGTTGCAAGGTATTTATTAAAGCTATGACAAATAAAATATAAAATTTTCTGACAATGGAAGGGAAATCCAAACCACATCAATTAACGTTTTGAGAACAACATTAGAAAATATCTAAAAAAAAAAAAAAAAAAAAAAGACAGAAAAAATGGAAGGGAAAATATTAAAGAAATAAAATCTAGTTAACTTTTAGAAAAACCAATATCTCTAGAAAATTGCAAACATGAATGAGGCCAAGCAGCAGAGACAATGTGGTAAAAATGTGGAGAAAAGTGAAAAATCACAATAACATGTAATCAAAACCACTGCAGAAGAAAGGTCCTGGTCTCAAAAAAAAAATAAAAAAAAAAAATTTTGAATCACATTTCAACCATGACTATACTAAACTGAAGATGCCCACAGAAATAGAACATATACCAATATACATCCAACCATTACAAAGTCTGTATCAAAACAAACAACAAACTAAGGAATAATAAAGCATTCCTTGACATTGAGCAGAAAATTCTGGAAACGGCTTACTGTCCCTAAATTTAATAATTAAATTTTAACCAAAATCTGCACTGGCTGTTCAGTCAATGAATACTGAATGTTTCCTTGTAAGTATTTCAGTTAAAATATTTAAGTGAAATGCTCCTAAGTGTGTGCCTTGAGTCAAGCATCTCACAATACAAATAATGAGCTTGATAACATTTAGGTATTTCAGACCTTTTGAGATTATCTCAATCAGAAAACAGTTTAATTTTTTTCTCATATTACAATTCCATTAGTCATATTTGTATATGTGAGAATATGCCTAAGAAAATAACATTTACAACTCAAAAAAACTCAATCTGTGTTTAATTAGGACAAAATATTTTATTGCACACTAAATAGATTAAAATATTCTTTCTTTTGTAAAACTGCAGTATAATACCAATTTTAGAGTATGCAACTTGGGATATTCTAATGGAACACACAAATAGTGACTCAATTCAACTACCATTCTCTCTCAAAAAAGAATGAACCTGAAAACAAACAACTTAGTGAAAAGATGGTTTTAGAAAGATTAAAAATGAAGAGAGAATTATTATAGTTAAGAGCCAACTCTAACAAGAAAAAAAAAATTAAGTTATTTGATCAACAAATGAAAATAGAAATTTCAGAGCAATATGTTGGTCTGCTCCATGAAAAGACTACCAAACTTTGGAGAGAGAATTGTGAAAATGAAGAACTAACATCTCTTCAACAATGAGAAAAAAATCACTATCAAGTTCACCAATTATGAAAGGGAATTCAGGAATGAACACTATACAGATACTTGAAAAAGGTTAAAATTCACACACCACATGCACAACCAACAAAACAAGTAGCAAAACACCAAACATACACTCACCAAAGCTATGGCAATAATCCCAGGATTTTTAGACAATATTATAACCTATTATATATAACCCAAGTGCTCCCTGCCTCATGACATGATTTGTTCTGAAATCATAAATCCCAAAATATACAAAGAAACAGAAACTACAACCTATGAAACAATTACAAACAAACAAACAACAACCCAAGAAGGTTCAAAACTACTATAAAAAAACTGCACAATAAATGATAAAATCTCATCAGATACAGCAATACCCATGGAAGGAGAAATTTTAAAGGATTTTTTTTAGACAAAATTGACAGGATTCACAACACCCAGTGGTACAGACTTTGAAAAACTAAAAATAATCAATCTCTCAACTCAACAATACTTTAACCTCAATGAGATACAGGGTGATATTTCACACTTATATACAAAATTATGTCTAACAGAGGAAATTTTTCACAAGAACAGTGATGAGTCAATTATACAGAATAAAAGAAGCTACAATCCTACAAACAAATTTTGTGATCACATATCAACTTTCCCCATTTAGTGAACTACTAAACCCAAACCCAATACCAATCAAAAGGAATGGGAAATTATTCATGAATTAAAAATCAATAACATCATAAGCAGATAAAGGAAGTACTGTCATCATTATGGAGGTTGGACACTACAAAAATACTATATCTTCCCTATCACAAGACACTACCTATTATAAAAAGGTTAAAAAAAAAAAAAAAAAAAAAAAAAAACCAGCAATCAAAAAAAAATGATCAGACTAAACACACTCATTTGTCAACATCAAAAAGACTTAACCTGAAAATCCAGAAGTGCAAAATGGTTAATGATGCCTGAAATTAGAGGAAATAGGATTCTGGCTCAAAAAATTCCCTAATGAGGTCCTGGAAAGAATAAAAAATAGTTTTACCACAAAGGGACTAAAATTCATTCTACAAAACAATTTTTTTTGATTTCAATAGTAGCATATTTAGAAACAAATATCAGGGACTACAATGGGTACAAGAGTTGCTCTGACTTATTTAGCTATTGGATACCTTGAGGTCCAGATATATGAACTAACCAAATTAAAATAAGGCTTAAACTTTCACAAAATATTTCCTAGACAACTAAAAACATTACTTGGATGCCATATTCTATGGACACATACATTCGACCAACTCAATGAATTCAAGACACTAATTAACAGCATCAATGGAATACAGTCAAGCCCAACTTCCATTTCTGGACATTCTAATTATAAAAAAAGACAAACCTGGAAATTAGCATTCACCACAAAGCAACAGAATCTGAACAATAACCTTCAACCATCATGATAAATATTCCATTTAATCTAGCGAGAAGAATTTGTACAATTATCTCAAATTATGAAATGTGAAATGAAATAAAAGAGTCCAAGAATTAAAAGAAATTTTACTTGAAAGACAGTACCCATCATTATTAATAGATAACAGAATAGAATGTTTCAAAGAAATAGATAAGAGTTATGAAAAAAAAAAAAAAAAAAACTCCAGTTACATCTAATATTCTATCTTACATCTCAACACAGAACACACAAGAAATACAGAAAGTATAAAGCATTGTCCACAAGAACATCCCATTATTAAAACAAGACCCCAAAATAAAAAAGATATTCAAAGCATATAAAATAATCAAAAACAAAAGTCAACCAAAACTAATCACCCATATTACCAAATTACACATCACAAGCCTAAGACCAACTATCAAATAATGTGGCCACCCTAATTGCAAGACACAATGTATAAATTTAAATCCGGCCAGATTTTTTTTTGTAAAAAAAAAAAAAAAAAAAAATGACTTGTTAAAATCAAAAAATTTAATTTGTATTATTAAATATAAAGGATGTAAGAAACATTACATACAACAAACCAAACTGACCCTCAAAAACAGACCCCACCACAAGACAGATACCACTCATTGCATTCATGCACAACAAATAAGTTTCCCAAATTCCAAGTCCTCCCACTTTATCTTTGCCCAGACAACACCACAGACCAAACATGAATATATAAAGAAAATATATTTATTCAAAATACAAAACCATGTCTGAACAAACTCTAACAAGGCACATTTGCCAAGGGCTATCCATATACACACACACACACACACACACACAACATCCTTGTCCATTTTACTAATGGACTATTAATATTATTAAGACAATAAACTGCTATCTCAACACACAAAAATGCTTGTTCACCTGGCTAATTGTATATTGAACTTTTGGGGATTGCCATTAAGGTTCAATAAAACTTCAACTACTTAACACTTTGTTGTCATTAGCCCTCTTAATTTTTGACAACAAAATTTTATGATTGTTAATTTTTTTGCACAAAAATTACTATACCTGATCACATGATCATAATCAACCAAAAAGATTGCATGTTAAACTGATAGCAATCAGAATGACTTTTTTTTTTTTTTTTTGCATAAAATTGTCATATAGGAATAAAGTGTCATGCTGACATTTGGGTTTGAACACAGATTACCAGAGAGCAAGCACAGTCAACCGCATCTTGAAGTAATTAGATCACATGATGGGTAAAGGAAAAATATATATATGGGAATTAGCAGTGTCTGACAGAGTCTTGTTCGAAGGTGTTACTATTGTTGTATCTATGATTTACAAAGTCTCTCTTATAATCAGGCACTACAAAAGTGGGGACGAATATTTGTTGAATTTACACAAGGAAAAACTAAAATATACGTATCCTACACATCATAATAGGATATTCAGTAATATTTACCACTTCAACAAAGAGACATTATATTTGCAGGACGACAGAGAAATAAGTTATTCAAAAATGAATCTACAAGATATTCAGTGGAGTAAAGCAAAATGGAAGAATTAAAAGCTATCATGATTCAAATTGTTGGCACTTCAAAAGCAACAAGAACAGTTGCAGCAACAAAAACTACAACAATTACAATTATAACAATAGAAGTTTTTTTAATTATTTACTAAAACTACGGAAGAAAAAATTTCAGATTCATTCACTCCAGATGCTGTTGCTAATTCAATCAGTGAATTTCTATACAATCCAGATGAAGGGACAACTTTTCCAGCTTATTATAAAAGATACGAAGGGATAAATACATGGAGTAAAGAAAAGCATAAAAGGAAAATTAACCAGACTTCAAACATGTTTTTAACCGAGTTAGATACATCTCAAAATTGTTTTTGTGGAAATTAAAAATGTAAAAATAAAATTACAACTGGATACAGGATCTGATAACTCTGTTATAGGTTTCTCCATTAGGTCAATTAATAAAGCAGCATATCATGTTGAATAAAGGTCCATAAATCAACGGAAACAAAATTTCGTCTCAATATGTTTATGTTGTTATGAAGAGGAAAGACCAAAGTATTTTTTAAATATTTTAAAAAATTTTTTACTCCTTAAAAAAAAAAAAATTTTTAAATTGTTTTTTTTTACTACAGCACGAAAAGACTAAAAAAAGGTTTGTTTTATTTTGTGCTTTTCCCGAGGAAAACACATGTTAATTAGGAAATTCTTGCAGAAATCAAATAATTGTCGGATTTTAATGAAAATTTCATGACTTATTCAGAAATGAATGAAATTATTTTTGAAATTTTTTTTTTTTTTCCAGAAAATCCTGTTAAAAAGAGATTTTTTTTTTTAACATATTTTCACCCACTCACATATTTTCATGAAATTTCGAGAAATTAAATCTTCGCACGTGGGATTTTTTTTATTAGTATAAACAGGACTCTTTGTAGAAAGTAAATCACCAGTTTTTTTTTTTTTTCATAAAAAATCTGCTTTGAATTATAAAAAAAAAAATGTAAAAACGTATGAAATTAATTAATTAGAAAAGCTTTCACCTGTTTTTGTAAATATGTTATATTAAGGACATTATTTTGTGAAGAAATAAAATTTTTTCAATGAACAATGTATTTTTTACAAATTTTTTTCCCCCCATTTTAAAAATTTTTTCATTAACTTCTTAATACTTCAAAAATCGTTTAAAATTCTTTATTGCTTTCGCGCACGAAATGCAATGATAACGTTAAAGAAAAAGTAAATTTACGGATCGAAATTTGATAAGCACATAACAGTCGTTTAACCCAAAATATTTTTAAAATAATTTTTAAAAAAAATTTTTATTGAAAAAAACGTCCATAATTTCTACGTATGGAAATGTATACATGACATAATCCTTAAAAAATTTTAAACAATTATCTAATTAATAAAAAACTTTAAACTATTATCTAATTAAGAAAGTATGAAATAAAAATAGATATTACATAATTGTTAAATAAAAATGTTAATATTTAAAAAGTTCTAGTTAAAAACGAAAAACCGCATTCGATTACTTGGTATAAAAGGTAGTACCAAGCATATTCCAACTGATAATGGATGATACCATGCTTGCCAGTTTGGATTGTGCTCAAGCATATTTGGATGACATAGTTATTAAAAGTAAGACCCTAAAGCAACATGCAGATGTAAAGAAAGTATTTGAGAGAATCCAAGAATATGGTTTTAAGATCAGTGAACGAAAATGTAAATTGTTTATGTCCAGGTTTAAATAGGACAAATTACCGATGAAAACAGTAGACAAATGGAGCTTTCAAGAGCAAGCACAATAAAAGACATGCCCACTCCAACCAATGTAAAAAAGTTAGAAGCATTTGTAGGGTTTGCTAATTACTATCATATATCACCCCCCCAAACATGCACAAATTAAAACCACCCTTGAATAACCTGCTAAAGAAAGATATGAAATGGAACTGGTCAGATAAATGTCAAAGTGCTTTCGAAGAGATCAAGAAAGTCTTAACATCGGATTTGTCACTAGCTCATTTTCACCCTAAATTAAAGATTGTGGTTGTATCAGATGCAAGTGATTCAGGTATTGGAGCAGTGATACTACAAAAATATGAGGACCCAAAAACTAAATAGCTCATGCTTCAAGGTCATTAATTGCAGCTAAAAAAAAAAGGCCAGATAGAAAAGGAAGCATTGGCCATCATATTTGCTATGAATGGTTTTTCGATCTAGAGGGGTACTAAAAAAGTCAGAGGGAGAGGAGTCAGATGAAGTAATGCTACAACAATTTTTGAGAGTTTTCAGAATAACACCAGACTTGAACACCGTGTCTGGAATGTCGTCTGCAGAGTTGATATTAACCAGGAAGATTAAGCCCATTTTTAATAAATTATTACCAGAACATTAAGGTGAGAACATCAAGAAAAATAGTATAAGTAAATACTTCAAACCTGGAGATAAGGTATTTTTTAAAGAATTCTGGGAATATAACGTTATAAAAAAAAAAATGGATCGGCAAAATGACATACATGGAACAGGGACAAAGGCGGGAACATAAGCAACACCATAATCAGTTAAAATGCAGATTCACCGATTTAAAAAATCTCCGAAAAGAGGTACCTATGGAAATTTTGTATGACACATTTGATGTACTCACACCATCAGAAATTTATGGTAAGAGAAAAAGAGAGTAGCAACAGAATTTTTAAATACTGAACTGAAACTGAAGAAATATAAACTCCAGAGGATGTCATATCAAAGTGGAGGTGTCATATAGGAATAAAGTGCCACTGCAGACATTTGGGTTTGAACACAGATTGCCAGAGAGCAAGCACAAGTCGACCTCATCTTGAAATAATTAGATCATGTGACAGGTAAAGGAAATGTGTGTGTGTATATATATATATATATATATATATATATATATATATATATATATATGGGAATTAGTGGTGCCTAACTGAGTATTGTTCGAAGACGTTACTATTGTTGTATCTGTGATTTACAAAGTCTCCTACAAACAGGCATTAGAAAAAAAAAGAGAAAAAGAAGAGAAAATGAAAAGAATTCTCGAACATACAGCATACCCACACATCCCTCAATGCAATCTAATTTTTGAAAATCTTAGAAATGTGAAACCGGTAAAGTTACTGTAAATATTCTTAAAGACTCCATTTGCATTTTCAGCTATATTTTCTATATATATAAATAAATTCTTGCTTGTAATAATATCAAATACCCTACAACCAAAGAATTTAGTCAAAAATAAATTCTATTTTTAAATATCTATTTTTATTTTTGCTCTGTTCTGTGTTCTTTAAGTAACCTTGTGAATGTTAAATAAAGTTATTACCTTAGGTTCTCTTGTATGCTCAGGACAAAGAACTTTTAATCGTTTGCAGTATGTCTTCTGTTGATGATTATAAACGTCACAAAACATGGAGTCTCCATCCACAGGAGTCTTGTAATAAGAACCAAATACAGTTTGTGCTTCAAACTAAATAGAAAAGAAAGAAAAGTGTAAAAATGCAATCAAATGAAAATGACTGGGTTATTTTCACAATAGCTATTTAGCTGGTATTTGCATGTCTTTTCCATGCTAATTTATCCAGTGTGTACTAATTACCTTTGCATTGTTTGCTGGGTCAAATGCATCTCTTTCTTTTCTTTAAATTGGGATCATGAAAGTTAACTTATGAAAAGTATTTAAGGAATTTATTTTTGAGAGATTTATCAAACACTTAATAGCAATAGATTCTTATTTTTATTTACAAGATGTGAAGTTGATTGTAACAGAAAATACAAATTTAAAAAAAAACAAAAAAAAACAAAAAAACATGAAATCAGAATAATAAAAAGCAAGTTTTACTGCTTTTCTAAACATTTGTATTAGGCAAAAACATTTACAAGGAAAAGATTCATTCTCAATCAAAAGTGCTAAGCAAATCAACATTGGACTTGGCATAATTACAATTTTTAAGCATCATGGATTTATTTTGTATGCAGACAAAATGTTTGATCAGTAGTAAAAAAAAAATACAGGAATACATAGAGGGAATTATAGCATAAAATAAAGAATTTATTGAAAGATTAAATGGCAAATATTTTACAAATAATTTATAATTGCTGTGGCAAGTTTAATCAGATGATAATAAAATAAAATAGGGAAAACATTATTTTACTACTTTTTCTATTTTCAACGAGCGTGCATCAGTTTCAAACTTACGTATTAAAAGACAGGAAGTTACCTACCTTGGCAAAACATTTTTCCATATGCCTGAGTGCACCCTTTTGTTGGATTTCACTGCCACACGTCACACAATAAATGCTCAATTCACCTTCATCATCATCCTAGAGAGAGAGAGAGAGAGAGAGAAATTAAATTTAAACAATGTAGAACATAAATCCATAAATGTCAAAGAAACTCATATGCCTAATGGTAATTGTGGTAGTATAACATGCTTTTAAGAATTTTTGAAATTTTAATTCAATTTTGAATTCTTTGTCAGGTTCCTATTTTCAAAGTGCCATGTTACGATTTCTGAAAAAAGTATCATTTTTGAGCTTTACTGTTGCCTTCAGCCAGACTTGGAAGATTTCTTTATTCACAATACCTGTTTAGACATGGTAGTCATTAACTCCAAGTAACCTATATTTCAATAAAGTTGGATAAAGAAAAATAATAAAGTGATTATCAAACTCAATTCAAATTTGATTAGATGTAACACTATAAATATATAAGGGGTTGGTGTGCGTGATTTCAAGTGTTTCTTCTTTCATGACCAGCAATCAGGTCAGAAAAATATGGTCTTCAAAGTGGTCAACTACTTGATCAAAAGGGAATAAAAGAATAAATAAGTGAAAATATGTGAGATCAAGTAACAAAGTGGACATCTACTAAATCCAGTTGCTAGTCTGAATAAACACCTGGAAGAGTTTGAGTCCTTATTTCTCACTGTGACATTTATTTCCATCTGCTGTTGCCTTAAGAGTATTACACAACAGGCCTTTCGTAGTTTTTGATGCATAATGGCAGGAACAAGAATGGAGATGCAATGTGGGGTAGTCAGCAGCTGATCAATAAAAAACTGGGTGAGGGCTTCATTTTATATTCACAAGATAGTAAATTTCTCAAAAGCAAAAGTTTGAAGTGGAGGGGGGGTGGATTATGAAAGAAGTGTAAACTCACTTCTTGTTCCGCTTCAACAATAGGTGATAGCTTTGCTCTCTCAATAAGAGCATTTAATTCTTGGTGCTTGACATAAAGCTCATTGAGACGTTGTTGACACATTTGCTGTTGCCGTCGGATTTTCTCTAAAGATTTTTTGTTGTATTCCTCTGCTATACAGGGACTGCTTTGCCATTGTTGGATTTTGGGAGGCAGAAGATCACACAAGCGGCTGAATAAAATAAAATAAAAATTAAAAGTTGAAAAATATAATTCTTTCATTGAGTAACATATGCTTTACAAGATACACAAGCAATTAAATTGTCCATCTTTTTAATACACACAAAGTCTATAAAACATTACACCACACATATTAATTTTATTTTAATACAAATCTAATATAATCACTTTCTGAAATAATACCTATTGCTCAAGTATCAATGAATATTTTTCTTCAAAAAATTGTTGTATTTTTTAAAAGACATTGCATGTTTGCATAAGGATAAGTTGTGTTCTAAAATAAATTGTTTTAAGTCATCTCTATAACTTTTACAAGCCTTTAAAGAAGATAAAAATTTTATGCCTAATTTTTTTTTAATTAGATAATGATAAAATTTTACTTGGTATGAATTACTAACAATTATATGAGCAATAAATGCAGAAAAAAAAAGTGTAAAATTTATTTAATTAATTTTTTTTTTTTAATCTCATTAAGGATCCAAAAATGCAATATAAATGTTTATTAAGCAATTTACAACTAATAGAATTTAATAGCAACAGAAGAAATGGGGGAAGAAAAACTATGTAAAGTAGTACTAATAGTTGTAATGATTTGATAAAAGTTGGTTGATAAACAATATAAAAACTTACTTTTTGGCCATCTTCATTCCACATTCATCTGAACAATACTTAGAGTTAGGCCATGCTTGTTGCGTACAACCAATGCCGTAACACTGCCGAGGCACTTCTTCCTCTACTTTCTCTACACTGTGCTTGTCTTCTATATCGCCATAATGTTTATCAGCTTTATTTTTGGATTTCTAAATGGAAACAAAAACAAAAAAAAATAAAAAAAAAATAATAAAAATGCTCAAACAATACAAAAAAAAACAAAAAAAAACATTAACCTTTCCTAGATTGAATCTCAGTTTTAGCAATTTTAAGGGAACTCAAATGTAAATTAAAGATGTGAGCGAGCTATACAAGTCTTCTCAACATGAGAGAGCACACACACATTATATATAAAGTGGACATTGGAGTCAACACCCAGAGACAACAATCTGTTTCATGCTAAACACAATCATCAGGCCTGACCAATTACGTTTAGCATGAAACAGACAGACTGTCGTCTCTGGGTGTTGACTTCAATGTCCACTTTTATATTTACATATGCTCTATACCTGATATTGAATATTTTAACACTTTAACCCATAATATAGCATACCATAAAACTATATTTTATCATTATATATTCTAATATTTTTATTAAAATTATTTTACATTGCAACACAGAAATTTCTATGTTTTGAGACTTCATGTTTTTATCTCATCATCAGGCAATGTTCGGTAACCTTGGTGAAAATGATTTACATTTGAAAATAGAAAACAATAATGATTTACATTTGAAAATAGAAAACAATATGCTTACTTATTAAAAGAGTTAATATGGAAGGGGAAATCCAGATTTTTAGATCTTATGGGTGTGTCTCTTAACTAATCAGAAAGTCAATGCTATATTTGAAAAGCTAAAAATATAGCTTAGATGTTGGGGCATGTGTGGTATTCATACATGTTATGGGGGAACTGTCATACTAATGGCTTGACACTTTACTTCTAGCAAAAAATATACATTTAAGTTACAACGAATTATACTTAGAAATATATCTCCGACAATGGGTTAATTTTAGATCTCTGTTAAAAGATCCTTAGATATGATCAAAGCATTTTTAAATTTATTTATCCCCTCCCCACTCTGTAGTTCAAGTGGTAGAGCTGCTACCACAGTAAGATAGACTTTTTCTCAGAAAGCCTAAGTCTCACTGAGGACTATTCTTTACTTCTGATTTGAAGTTTGATAATGGCTGTAGACTGACAGTTTGAGTAGTTGAAATGATTAAGCAACTGAAATGGAGATGAAAGTAACACTTCCCCAAAATTACACCAACTGACAAATCTTCATTTTATAGTAAAATTCAAGATAATATTACAGATCAATAAACATTAGCAATTCCACCCAGTATTCAAAGATTCTACAAAATAGATGAAACAGAAGGGACAATTTTACTTTTCGTAATTTCTCCATCTTCCAAATGTACGCTAAGCCTTAACTAGAAGGTTCTGTCTTCAAACCCTCTTCCTTATCAAGTCATACCTGTAAGCAAAATAGTCAGTAAATCTTTTAAGATACATTAAAGGATAATTTTTTAATAACAAATATAAAAATCTATTAGCAATATTTATTTTGGTTTTCAAATAGCAAAAATGGATATTTTTTAACCTATGGATAATTTTCAATCATACTTCATTCTAAAGTGGTGATTCCCAGACTTTTTCAAGTGTCCACTCACATTTATAGTCTCTTCAAAATCCAATTCATATTTGTCAGCTTCTTAATGCTGATGGTCTCTTTTCTTACTACTGCTTTTCCAATGCTTTAGTCAAATTAGCACCTAAAGATGCCCCAAATCTAGGACAACATTTGAAAACATTGCATGAACACTCATTATATATACATTGTAAATTTCAAGAAGTTTTCAATTATTTCAGATACTTTGTTCACACAACCATCTTTGACAAGGAAAGGAAGTTTACTTTTAAACAATTGGCTTGATACTTGATGGGTTTTTTTTTTTTTTTTACTTTTCATTCTTATTGTACTTACATCATTTACATAGGTACACTGAGTGCACAGCATAATGATGGAAAAAAAAAATTATTTTACACAACAAATATTTAACAATTTCCTTCCTTATAAGTACATTTAATTTAGTAAATATTAATCACATACATTATACAGTGATTAAAATTTAGCTAATAACTAAGTGTCAGACTGATCAATCTACCTTCTCATTATAAATTTTCAAATATTAAGTCAGTATTCCAGATATTAAAAATTTAGTGTGGCAGAGTTGATGGAATTAAAATAGCTTATTTGTGAGAAGGAGAATTCTTACCTTACGCCCTTTTAATGCACCATGCCGCCGACCAGATTTAGATTTTTGTGGTGTACTTATTTCTGGAGAACCAGAAGTTTTGTTTTTGGACTAAAAAAAAAAAAAAATCAACAATTAGAGGGGAGTATAAAACAAAATTGTCATACAAAATTAATTTTAATTGATAAAATAATTTAAACTTAGAAATAAAATGCTTTAATTGTGAAATTTTTTATATTTATTTTTTTTTTTGTTATTGACTAATTATGTATTTGTACAATCTGAGAAATGGTTTTATCTACATGTTAAAATATTAAAATGTTTTTGAAGTATGACATTCTTTAGAATCTCAAAGATATACATCAAGTATGACGTCTACCCAGCTGTTACGTATTCAAGCTCGATCCCGTTCTTGCAAATAACCCATAATTTTTGAGCCAGACAAAAAGTAATCTAGCAAAATGAAAGTGGGGATCTAGCAGAGGCAAATCATTAATTCCTCCTTGCAGCCATTGACATTTATCAATGCTTATTGAATGTTTATGGAAACCAAACAGTGGATGCAAGCACAGTTAGGCAATATATCAGCAGTGGTGGCAGTGATATATAGGTCACCTCAGCTAATGCAGATATTTTTGTGAGCATGGTGTACAGGCTCTTCTTCATAGTTGGCAAAAATATATAGCTGACAATGATGACAATGTGGGGAAAATACTGTTTTGTAGCTGAAAACAGCCTCTATCTAAGTGTTATTCTGCTCCCTGTATCTGTTATGGTCTATTTGTAAATAAAGTAAAAGTATTACTTTCAGAGCAATCTTTGCAAATGCATTTCATGAGGCCTACTGTAAAAAAAAAAAAAAATAAAAAATAATGCTGTTGTAGCTGACATTGTCTGAATTACATCCTACTGAGGTTTGGAGATCTCACTGCATGGCTTCCAATAGGTTACATCATAAAATATCATATGGTTCAATGTAGATTGATAGGTTTCTGCTAGATTTGAACAGTGTGTGTGTGTGCATGCATATGCGCACTTAAATTGTTATAGTCCATATTTGTCTCAAAAAAGTTAATGCTTAATTAATGATAATGATTAATAGCCAGAAATTAACATTTTGTTTTCAGAGATTCATTTTTAATTGTAGCCATTTGATTTTGTTATGTGAAATAGGCTAAGAGAAACATTTACATTTAACTTATTACAGAATTGTAAAATCTACTATATTGATTACTTAATTTGTTTTCTATAACACAAAATGCAATCAAAAGGAAAACAAGTCTTTCTGTAACATTAATCAATTCCAACAGCACATCTTTTGAGTGTACATTTCTTAACTGAATCAAAATATAGAAAGTGATCAATAATCAAAAAATGGTTAATTATTAATTACATCCAAATACCTTTTGAAAGTAAGTGCAGAAAATAAAAATACATACCCTTTTACTCTTTTTGCCTTTAATTTTAATATCACTATCTGAAATATCCCTGTAAAACAAAAATGTGTTTGATCATGTAACATTTGATGGAGCAAATTATTAAGAAGGTTAGAAATCTAGGTTTGATGTATCATCAGCATAAATACTGAATTGGGAACTGATGATATCAGGAAGGTTGTTGAAGATAACAATATAGGTCTAAGGATTGAGCCCTGAGAGACTGCATTAATATGAAAGGATCTAAAAACATAGCAGTTCAACACAACTTTCATTGCACACTTTGTTAAGAATGATTGGATCAAGTCAAATATTTGTCCAAAGACACCATAGCTCTTGAGCTTGTGAAGAAGTTCACCATACCAAATGGTCAAATGCCTGTGAGATATTTCAAGCCACAGCCTGAGCTTCACCATTCTTATCTAAACTTTGATAGATAAATTCAGTAATAACCATTAACACATTGGTTGGTGTTTAAGGATCTCAAAATTTAGAAAAAAAATTTTTTTCTGTCCTTAAGATTTTTTAATTATCACTAAAACTCAACCTACAATGATTACAAGACTTTTTTTTATTATTTGTGTAACATTAAGGCTGTGAAATTTAGCATTTTATGCACGAGCATGTTTCTTTTTTTTTTCTTCTTTTTTAAAAAATAAAACATTCAAATCTTCTTGTATTCTTGAAAGATATTTCAAGTATTTGTAAAATCCATGATTTTATAATGAGCATAAAACTCTCTTTGTAGATATTTATGTCAAATCAAATTGCTCTCTATAAAAATCTGTGATGTTGCTATTGTGCATATAAAGCCTGTTTTTCTGGAAACTGTTGAAATAATTTATCTATTTTGTGAACATTATAAGCATAATGAAGGTGATCTCTTTGGCATCTCCATAAAAGACTACTGACCTGCGCTTGTTGACATTTGTATAAACTGATTCTGTAATGGATGTGACTGTGCGATTATCCCGATCCTTGTCGCCAGGACGAGGTTTCCATTTCTGACCAGATAAGATGAGTCCCTGTACACAAGATAATCAAAGTCAGATTAGAATTTTTAACAATGAAATAAATAAGCAATCAAAATACAAACATTCACATTTACTTATTAAATATTAAAAGCTAGGTAAAAAAAATATTTGTATGAAAATATTTACAGGAAAAAAATAGATTAAGCATACTAATATCTTAAAGAAATATTTTTAATAATTAAACATAATAATGCAAAAAAACTAAAAATAAAAATAAAAAAAAACTAAAAAAAAAAAACCCTCAAATCTTGTATAATTGTAAGTGGGTTATTATTTTTAACACTTAGTAAAGACTGCAATATCACATTAACTAATCAATGAATCCACATTGCTCCTCATATATGTAATATAATGCTTACAAAATTTAGGCACTGTCGAAGTCTGCATTTCTGTCGAATTTTGTTGGGGCCACCAAATTTTTTCATGTCCTGTAATGATGTTTGAAAAATATTTTATTATGTATATAATACAATATAGCATGTAAATTAAAATCACTTGCATTACATTAATGGTTGGTGAATGATATTGTTAGAATAAATGAAACTAATTGACATAAGCTATCATTTCTATAGAAGAAGGCTATAAGAATGGTAATAAATGCAGCAACATAACTCTAAGTTTCCTGAAAATTATAGATAACATGACTTTTTATTTGTGAAACACCAAAAAATTAAAGGCTTATCAATCAAAATATATTTTCTATGTGAAGAAATAGTGTAAAGTGTATATAGTAAATGTACTATAAAAATCAGCATTTTAGTTGCCAAAACTTAGTAACTTTCTTTGGTGATATTAGAAGTTTCTTTTGTGTTATGGCATATACAATAAGGAATATTGATAAGGATCAGGTAATTCTCTGCTCCATCAGCGACCACAAATCCATAAAAAACAGAAATAGTAATATTAAAATTATATATATATATATATATATATATATATATATATATATACACACACAGAGAGAGAGATATAAAAAAAAAACAGAGGATGTCTGTCTGCATGATACCTTTTCACTTGAAATCTATTCCACCGATTTTGACCAAACTTGGCATATACATTGTACAATGTAAGAGATAGGTTCTTAGCATAAAAAATTGATAATTTAAAAAAACAAAACAAAAAAAAAATGATAAAACTGATCAATTCAACTTTTTCCCCCCTCAATTTTGCTCAAACTCAGTATATAGGTTACTTACATCATGAGCTCAATGATACCTCATTTTTATTTCTATGCTACTGCATTTAGCACAAAAAAAAATAAAAAAAAAAAATAAAATTTCAACAAAAATTTTAAACTAAAAACTTCCTCAATTTTCAAGCAATCAAATTCAAACTTCATTCAATTGTAGCCAACAATAAGTTGATTTTTTAACAATCATTTAATTTGATAATCAAGTTCACTCATATGGTGAAAACTTGCATAAATAGTGAAAAATGGCAGTTTTTATTGGTTTCTTTCTTATTTTTCGTTGATCTTTCAGCCAATTTTCATCAAACTTAACAATTGCATTATAAACGTATCCTCTTTTACATCTCTGGTAGCACACTGACAAACTGAATTTCAAAAACTCCAAAATAACTGTGGCCTGAAGTGGGTCTTCATGTTGCTCATTTTACAACTTCATGTCCTCGGCTAACTTCAATTGAATAAATACAGAATATATCAGTGACGGCATTAATTCAAAATGTTTTTTTAATGAAAGTACTTTGAAGTAATTGAAGAACATAAATTGTATTACATCTAAACATGTTTTTTCTCCATTCTAATTGAACACTTTTTCTGATCAGCCAGCTGGGTATGGCTGCAAGTCAAATATATAGTAAGAATTATTTAGCTGATTACAATAAACTTGGGAATAAAACAGTGAGAAATATATTCTTGCCCTCATCAAATTTCTTTTGTTAATTAAAACATGCACATACAAAAAACATACCTTGCAAAAATCACAACGGCCACAGTCTTCTTGCCGGTGACATGAAATGCACTCTCCACATCTTCGTGATGATTTCTTTTTCTTTTCATGAAAATAAGAAATGATTAAAAAAAAAATAAATAAAAAATAACAACACAAGGAAAAACCAATTTTAACAGAATTAAAATCAAATAAATTATGGGTAGTAAATTATTGAAAAAAAAAAAAAAAAAAAAAAAAAACAACCAGGCATATGGATCTATGCTCTTATGCTCTTTTAATTCACATCAAATCAAATAAGATTAATATAAAGAAAATCAGAAGTTCAAGCCTCACTAAAGTGAGAAAACTATTTTCTGAAAATATGAAAAAAATATTAAGTACAAGAAGGCAGTAAAGCTATCACAAAATTATCTCCATTAATATTAACAAATAACTTTTACACACAAAAGAGATTCAAGCAAAACTTAGTAATAAAGTTAGAGCCACATAATCCAGAACTTATAATGAATGCTGTCCTCTACCTTAAATATTCATATTGGCCATGAATATTTTAATTATTGAGTGGTGTAAAAAAACAACAACAAACACACACAAACCTTTTCTTTCTTTACTGGAACTTCTTTGTGATGTCTTTCTGTGTCACTGGAGTCACTGGCACGGTGATGTCTCTCTTTCACAACCTTTTTACTTTTATACTGAATCTCCAGGCTTTTGTCACGTTCTGAAAGACAAGCAAAATCAGATTAAAACAAGCTTCTTGATTTCATCGATTACTAGAACAGCATCTGCAATGACTGCAGTTACTATTTATTAAAGGAAAACAAATATCAACTAGATTTATGACTATAATCTTAAAATCTCTTCTCCTCTCAGATGATTTTATAAAGATTTTACAAATGAGGAACACTCTGAATGTAATGCCTCTATTTATTTTCACAGCAACTACAACAGATACAGAAACCCCATTAACATAGGTATCTCCATGAGATTGCTATAATAAAAAAAAAACATAGCATGATGAAAAAGATGCCAAACTTGACGAAAACAAAATTTTATCATCTAAATGCTTATGTTATTATTAAGAGGAAAGACCAAAGTTTTTTTTAATTATTTTAAAAAATTTTTCCTTCTTTTTAGAACATTCTAAATTTTGATTAAAAAAAAATCTTGTTTCTCTTTGTATCACTGGAACTAGTAAAATAACACGGACAATTTTTAGCAGATTTTTTTTGTATGACACACATTAATTTGGAAAAACTGGCAAAAATAAAAATAATTGTCGGATATTAATGAAACTTTCAGAAACTATTCACAGATGATCAAAATTATTATACATGTTTTTTTTTTTTAAAGTCATAGCAGAAATACTTTTTTTTTATATTCATTACCCCTCCCATAACTAATTTTATTAAAACACTAGAAATTCAACCGAGTCTAGTTTAGTGATTACAATAGTTAAAAGCACAAGGCTTTGAGGAAAGCAAATCATGATTTTTTTTTTTTTTAATTGGATCCCCCCTACCTGAAAATCAGCTCTGAATTGTAACATAACATAGATATTATTTAATTTCAAATGCTTTTAGTTGTTTTTATGAATATGGACAATATTTTCTGAAAGCAAAAATTTTTTTCAATGAAAAATGAATTTTTAATACAATTATTTGTTATTTCTTTAATTATAATAGATTTTTACATTTAAGTTGTTAAAATATTATAAAATTAGTTAAAAGCCGCATCAGCTTTCAAAAGTGTCCTTATGAGATAGATCTTTTTTTAGCACGTTGTAAATTGTATCATTTTGACTAATCAGAAGACCCACAGTAATTTAAGAAATGTAATTTTGTGTTTATAATCGGGCTGTAATTATAAAGTACAGAAGACCAACCAGAATACAATTAAGTTGCGTTATTTGAGTTAAGCATTGTTCTCCACTATTAAGGCCTTTACTTTTGCGAAACTCGTGGAGAAATTAATTTGATTTTTCAATTTCAACTGAGAAGGGTACCTACAAATATCAGTATCATCTTATGAAATTTATATGATCTTATTTTTATATTAATCTCAGTTATGACATTTTTCCATAAATGAAATATCAAAATTAATAATAAAATGAATGGAAATACAAATAACACAGTAAAATGTAATAAATGTACATAAAATTATAGTATTTGATAAAATTTCATAAGAAAGGTACCTATAAATTAATTAGATACCTTTTTTATGAAATTTAATCTCACTCTTAACAGTCTTATTTTAATTTCTTTAGAATATATTTTCCATAAAACATCGTAAACGTAAAGGTGAAAGCTAAGGACAAAAAAAAATAAAAAAAATTAAAGTGCTGAAAGTTTTCCTTAAAAATAACGAGGTAAATAATTTGTTCACTTAAATCTAAATAACTTCACTTTTCGCCTTCTGTAGAACAAATTATGATCATGTAATCCGTCAATACATCATTCAACACCTGTCAAGTGACGTGAAAGGTTATGACCTGCTTTGTTTGATTTTCAAATTACATCTTTTCGTCGCAGAAACTAAGTCAACCTTGGTTCAAAATATTTTAAATAAACATTATAATTTCTGATTTTCTTAAAATAAGTTTTGAAAAAATGATAATTGATTTTTAAAATAATTTCAAACTGAGATTTTCATCTTTTTTTATAAAATGGAAAAAAATGTATGCCATGATTGATTATCTGTCAATTTTGCTGACTCAAAAAAAAAAAAAAAAAAATTTTTTAACGAAAATTTCGGACGTGTTTGGAATGATTAAAAAAATGTAAAAAAAATACCCCCAAAATACTCTGATCTTTCCTCTTAATAATAACATGAACATTTAGGCGATAAAATTTTGTTTACATCAAGTTTGGCGTCTTTTTTATCATGCTATGCTCTTTTTTAGCGATCTCATAGAGGTACCTACATTAACACTACTGGAGAGAGCAAGTTTTCAACTACAAAACACTATTTTTCCACACATACACAACCATTGGCAATGAATAAGACTTTTGTTTCATGTCAAACATCATTTTGTCAGACTGCTACTTAGCTATCATCTGTGACAAGACAAGAAAAAGGAAAAAGAATATTGGCATACAACCAACAACTGGCTTTGATGTGGTAGACTTAATAAGATACGAGGCATTACACTTGGAGTCATCTTCATATATTTATTCATGTTCACTTGCAGATAGCAGAGAATGAATGGCTTCGTATTGGCATAGGTTTCCAACAATTATTATACTGAAAGTGGATTACATAAAACAAAACTCTTCCCAAAAGATTATGCTTGGAAATTTTCAACATTAAGTAAACTGCAAAATTGAATTCTCCTAAGCCCCCCAAACTATATTACTATGTAAAAGTTGTTTTTGCATAGATAACTGTAAAACTTCAAGAAATAAAGTATGTGGAGTTGACATAAGAGGTCATCTGAGGTTACCAGGAAGCCATCAGAACCATAACATGTCATTTCTAGTCAAACAAAGCAATTTCTACCCAAATGAGCTGAGACACTGAGTTTACTATGAAGTACAAAAATATTTTCTTGATTTTACAAATGGTAAAGAGTAGAAAGTCAAGTTTATTCTTCAAAGTCACTGAAATTGGAATTAGTCTGTGGCTTTTATAAACTGTAAGGCAGCCAAAATTATATTTGTAATGATAAATTGATACATAAGAATTTGGGAGAAAAAAAAAAGAAAAACATAGTAGGGTAGGTGTATTTTGAAATAACTTAGATATTTTCACCCAAATAAAACAACTTAGAGGGTTTAAAATTTTTTTTCCCTCTTATTTGTAAACATTGTGCAACTCTCAAAACCATTTTCAATCAAGAGTTCTAAAATTTTCAGGATTAAACTTAATTTTTTCAGTTTTTTTAAAATGTAAAACACAGCCCAAAACTGCAGAAACTACATGGATTTCTTGCTCAAAAGAATGATGCAGCTGAAGAAATTTAAATCTGTTGCATCAGATTTATGGAGAAGTTCAAGTGGACAAGTCAACTGACACAGTTTTTGACACTTTGGATGCTGTTCAGAACATTCTAGTTCCTCAACTCTATTGAGCTGCCTGGTGTTCTTCCTCACAGGCTTCAACTATAAGTGGGGATGCTCATAATGCATAAAGTTATGCAACAGAACTTTCCAAACTATCAAACAACTTTTCTTCATGTCAAGGCAAATATCCAAACTGGAGGAGATAAAAAAGGAAAATGTGTTTATTACAAAGATCTTCATAATTCCAACAGACATCCTCTTTTGAATTCATTGGTTTCAGCTTCCAGTAAGGCTCAGATTTGCTATGATTGTCAACAAGGCACAAAGACAATCTCTTAAGACCACTGGCATCAACTTGACTTCTCTTTTTCAATATATTGTGTTAGATATTCTAGAATTGTATTCTCAAATAACCTTTTCACACCAATATTCAATGAAAGAAACATTAAAGCCAGTCATTATGTTTTGGATATCAATAGATAGTGTGTAAACAATCAATCTATATATATATATATATATATATATATATATATATATATATATATATATATAAATCTTTAATTGTTATCTTTGACTTTTTTTTTCCCTCCCAGGTAAAGCCAGATATGCCTGATAGAATTACTATAAAATTGAAGATTTTAAAAGAGGAAATGAAACAGTGCTATCAGTTCAAATTTCATTAGTCTAGTTGTTGGCTATTTTAAGCGGATGAATTATTCTTCTAAATTTGCACTTTAAAATACTTATTGGTTAAAATGGATTAATAATGATTTAAAGTTATCTCATTGTCCAAGTCATAATAAAAAAAAATTCAAGTGCACCTTATACTTCCAAAAGAAAGGATTCTGTCACATGTATGGAAACAAAATTACAAATTCCTATTTTTCAAAACATTACTTTAAAAACATAAAAAAAAAAAAATATTCCAATCGTTGAAATAGACAAATTTATATTTAAGCGTTAACATAGCACAACTGAAATTTTTAACTTAATTGCTGATAATCTAATATTTTTTAAAATAATATCAAAGTAAATGAACAGACTGCAACAGTATCAATAACTAAACAATAGTTTAATCCTTTTTCACCCCATAACTCATTATCTTTTGTTGACTTGAACACAGTATAAGAATGTCTACAAAATTTTGCACATCTTAGAACTTAATAACTATTATATGACTCACCTCGACAAGCATCACAAAAGAACTGTTTGATTGCTTTAGCTGCTGTTTGTGTCACTCCAATACAGTCACCATGGTACCACTCATTACAATTATCACAGCCACTGTAAGAGAAAACAAAAGCAATTATATATTCAACATTGATCAGAGACTCAAATCTCTTCTTCGCATATTTACTGTTGTTAACACATTTTTGTTGATTCGTTCTTTAGCCCTCATTAGGTGTAAACAATGACAAAAAAAAAAAGTCTCTTATCTCCAGTAAGCTACCAAAAAGGAATTCTTCATTAATGTTCCCACTCAACTGGCCTACTTTCACAGTATCAATTACACTAAGTACCCAAAAGATTCCAAAGTACACTATAAATACTATAAGATAGTGAATATAAAACAAAGGATTTATTACAGAACTAAATCACTGATAATTATTAAGGCAATTATGCTAAGTAAAAAAAAAAAAAAAATTAATTATGCATAAGTATGATCCAATGGCATTTATTACAGTAACACAGCAAAGATGACACACTATAGTGCAATCTTTATTAGTGCAATACTACTAGAATGCTCTAACTTAAAGAATAAAGCAATTTCTAACAGGGACTCCAATTTCTGAATACTTTTTTAAAAGTATGACCTGACAAAAAAAAAAATAAATAAATAAAAAAAATAAAAATTCAAGAAAAGATAACTCCAGATTTATCAACTGCTAATTAAAAGTCATTCCCATTAGTCTTCTTAAGAAAATAAGAGGAATGAACAGAGTAGAATCCTTGACAGGTGTGCACTCTTCTGTATCAGCCTTAGTGGCATAGCAGTGACAATACTTAACTTAAAATTTACAAATAGTGATGATATAAATTCTATAAATAGAAGTGACACTGTTGAGTAAAGGCTGCCAAATATATAATAATAATATATAAAATATTCAGTCAGTTATATACCATGCATGATACAGGTTTAGGTGATCATGAATCTTTCAATACATGACTGATGAGGCAGATTTCTTCCCCACAGCAGGTTACCATTTCTTTCTGTGGTAGACTAGTTACCATCCAACCCGGTCTGTCCTACTATTTACCCATAGCCGGAGGGCAGAAGAAGAAGATTTATACCTTTCCCAAGGGTATTAGCACATAAGTGAATGTAATGGATTTGACAGGAATCCAAACTCAGCTCTCCGATTCCTCAGTCTGAGATGCTATCCATTACTCCAACTACCTCCTAAAATATTAGTAAATCAGAATTAAAGCGTTACTGTAAATGATCATACAAGAGTTGCTTAACTTATTTGATAATAAAAATACCCAACTCATTGGCACTTACATATTTCTAATACTATTGAGTGAAATCAAGTTCCCAAGTTTTTGGTAAAAAAAAAAAAAAAAAAAAAAAATAATAGGAACATTTCCATTCTCCATGTAGATAAAAATGGTGATTAGTAATTAAAGGTTGAGGAATGTAATTTTAGAATAAAAAATATATATCAAAAATTGAATAAAACTTTTTATGATAATGAAGCAAGACAGTAAGTTTAATTTGGAATATAATTTTTTTCAAACTAAAGTTCACCAAATACAAGGCTTAAAAAGCCATTCAAGATAAAGGGTAATTGAATAAGATGTGCGACATGAATGTAAGAGAAGGAAATAGAAAATTTTGACGGATAACTATTAACCCTAGACTTGAAGAGGTTAAGATTGTTTAGGGAAGCATTTATGCTGGAGTCTGATCCACAAAGTAGCAATTCTTGGGAAGAGGTTTTCTGTGTGGAACAGCCTTCTTACTCAAAGGAATAAACAGGGATTGAGAGTGATTAAACCCTGTGAACAGAGCAAAGAGGGTCTTGACTGTAAAAGTCTGAGGTGGTGGCTGCAAAGAATGTGTGACACTAAGATCTCCAGAGGTTGATCAAACAAAAAGAGAAAGAAGAGGAAAGAGTATACTAACTTGGTGGTAATTATTGAAATTTGCAGGAAGATGGTTTGAAAAATTGAGAAGAAAATTTTAAAATGAAATGTGTTGAAAAAAAATCCTAGATAGAAATAATTCCAAGGAGAATCAAATCCAAGTTTAACTAGATGGAATTCGGTAAGATTGAGCAAAACCAAGACTACCTGTCCCACCTCACTTCCCACTGATAAAAAAAAGACTATTGAAGTATCCATGAAGATGTCAGATAAAATAAAAACATGTTGATGATAAAGAAACCAGAGCGGTTGCCAAAATAAATAACACTTACAATTCCTCTGGACAAAAAGGTCAAGAAAAGCCATCAGTTTTGAATAAGCTCTCCAGAAGAAAAGTATTTCCACAGAGATAGGGACCCGCCTGGTGCATTTGTTCATTATAATTTCTGTGATATTCACCAAGAAAAATTTTATACCCAAACATTAATTTGGATCCCTTGGATACAGGTGATAAGAAAAAAATTAATTACTATTTTGAAATGACCATGGACAAGAAGGCTGGGTGGTCTGTTCAATCATAAAAAAAAGACAGAGAAAAGATAAACTTTCATTTTAAGGAGAGTAGAAATAAATTTTTCTTTCCTTTTCCAATTCTTGAATGTTCTGGTTTGCATGGGGCAAACTGATAGATAAGGATTAATGACTGAAAATTTCTTTTATTTTTGCTGAGCTATCTGAAATTTGGATGTGTCACTCCAGCGCAGGAAGTGGTGTGTGTGTGTTATGTGAGTGAGAGAGAGATTAACACCACCTAGATGGAACTGTGGTGTGAGGTGAGGCATAAAGAGGGTTGCAGTTAAGGGATGACTTAATCCCTCTGACCACTCTCAAAAGTGGTGCTAGACAACCACTTGAATAAATGTATTTTTATATATGGAAATTTAGAAAAGGCTGATGTGTAGAGATGCGAACTCAGACCCTAGTCAACCCTACACCTGCTAAATGCAGGAATCCATATAAGCTGGAGATTTTAGACAACTGACACAAGAGACATGGAGAGAGTCCCTATACAACTGCTACTGGAATCCACATCATTTGCCAAGATCTCCTGACCAAGACATTGTGCCGGAACTGAAGATGAGAACTTAGAAATTTAAATTACTACTAAAACAAGCTGCAGACTCTGAAGGTGATCCCAGTGTCAATTGATTATAACAAGTGGGAAAGGTTAAAACCGCTGTATACAACAAATCATATATAAACCAAATTGTTGTTACATTTTTAACCAGAGTTAATTCTTTATTCCAAAGGATTCTTGTTTTTTTGTGTAGCTCCCAAATTGTCTTCACTTCAGTTTGTGTTATCAGAAATCTTTTCACCCTCTGTGATCAAAAATACAAAGGAATGAATGGTCATGAACAGACAAACGTGAACTAGGTTGAGTGGAACCATCACAATACCATAGACAATGAGTCACATGCTAATGAGTGAAGAGTCAGCTAAATGGTAGCCATGGTGGTCTGAAGGAACTTGAGAACCTACAAGCAACATGATATTATTGGCTACCACTGTTTGGAATCGACTCAGGAGTTATGCATTATTCGTTGCCATTGACTAGGTTCAGCGGGGGGAGAAATGGAACTCACCTAAACATTTTCCATGGAAGTAGCAATAGCGCAGCAATAGGTTTGACAAAAAAAAAAAAAGTCATCCTCCCCTCTACAAGGATGCATAAACAATTTTGAACTCTGTCAAGACTGGAAAGCAAGAATTGTGCAGCTCAAACCCAGATATGAGAGCAATACTCTATTTTTGTCTAATCTGACTCTTGTAAATACAAAGCACAGTAGAAGTTAATTCTGAAGCAATACAAGGAGTTGACCATTTTCCAGTATCTTTAATGATGGATCATATACATGAATTCCACTTAAAATGATAGAGTGGTTATTATGCTCTGATCATTTTTATTTGGCCCATTTTTCCAAAACAAATAAAAAAAAAAACAAAATGAACATGTAGTTCAAGTTATTTTCTGAACTATTTTCTTTTCTATTTTTTCTCTTTAAAATTTCTTTTTTTTTTTCTTAACATTACCCATTAAATTTTCACAGATTTTTTTCTATAAAAAAAAATCATTCTGGTTCTTGTTTGAATTTTTTGTTAGGCTGGACATTTTAATTTTTGTATGTGGTTTTTCTTTTCCATACTTCACTTTTTTTTATGCCATTTCAACCAGGTACCCTTTCAGTCCTACTTAGCATTGTCAAATCCTCCTCCAATACATGTTGTCTAGTTTTTACATCTGCATATTACTGAAACTTTCATTTTGACTACCTTTGTCCACATACTCAATAATCAAACTGAGAATCAATGTTAGTAACATGTGGATGCTAGTAATCAGATAGCAGAGGGCAATGAAGTTAAGACTCCTTGGATGTGTCACATACAAAGCTCAAGGAACAGTCATGAGATCAATGTAGAAGTCACAGGAAAATAGCCCAAAAACTGGATATGATGTGTGTGTGTGTGTGTGTGATGATGTGGTACAAAATAGAATTCAATACAATACGAAAAGAAGGTTAGAAGCTACACATACAATGACATTTTGGTAGTTTCATATTCTATGACAATTCATTAAGCAGCATAAATTGGAAATGAATTTGCTCTTGATAAGATCTGAATTCAAATTCCTTGTTCTTGAAAATCTAAGGGATTCAAATTCAAAATCTCATTAGAAGCTAGTCTTTATATGTTGCAAAATGACTTTCAAATATTTACCAACTAAATTTAAGAATTGTTAAATCTTAGAGCAACTTATGAATGTGCTTACATCATGAAACGTGAACAATCAGTGGATCTGCACACACAGTATTGCATAGGAACTTCCTCTTCTTCCTCCTCTTCTGCAAGAGTCATTGCTCCCCCAGATGCTTGTTCCATTGTTCTAATCAACTGGTTGACTTTTGCCTGACGTTCTGGAAGCTGAAACTGGTGGGCAATCTCTCCCTGAAATAGAAACATTTACATTTAATTTTTCTTTTTTAACAATTAAATATTTATTTACATTCTAACATAATTTCACTTTAGTTACATGACAATCTTGCATAGGTAAGTTATCACAAACAGCAAATTCTTTAAGTGTTTTAATGCAAAAACAGTGATGTTGACAGGTTTTTAATTTAGTGAGCCCCCAGGACTCAAAGTTTTTTTTTTAATGAACTTTAGTATTAAACTTCAGTGCAACCTGTGGGCTCTGAGAAAGGGTTTAAAAAAAAAAAAAAAAAAAAAATTAGTTTGTAGATTAACTTTTTTTTTTAACCATCGTACCAAAAAAAAAAAAAAAAATTAATCATGCTGAATCAGAACTTTTTTATTTTGTTAATTAAATAAATTCAAAACAAAAACAATTAAGAAACTATATTTTTTTGAGAATTATGACAGAAAAATAATAATAATTTTCAATAACCTTTAAAATGAAAATAATTTAAAAAAAGGAAATCACATATTTGGTTATTTGGTCAGGTGTTATTTTGGGAAGTGGATGAGAGAGAGAGAGAACTTTTGAGCGCCACCCATAAGGTGTAAAGTGACTTTACTATACATTGAAGAGAGCAAATTGATCCAACAATGTAACAGCTTGTAAATAACCAAAATTAAATTTAAAGGAACATTAATTCTTCATCCATTGTTTCCTTTTTACCCTTTCAAAATATTTCACTTTAGTGAATTAGTGAACAGGTACTGTACTGTGAAAACTACTTGTCACATGATACTTGGAGAGAAGTTGGTCAATACCAAGTAACTATTTATCCACTGAAAGGTTATTAAAAACACCAACATCAGGTCCTGACATTCTAGCCAAGCATGATCTTTTGAGTCATTCTCCTGGTACCTCTGAAGTTTCTGTAATTAAATTGTTCCATATAGTGGGACGACTGGCCGAAAACGTAACTTCTGTGCTCTAAGAAAGGGTTGTTTTCTGTTGGGGCTTTCCTCCTTTAGTTCCATCTACCCAGACTGGTTACCAACCAAGGCTGAACCCAAATTTAACCCAAATCTTATGGGGTGGGAAGAAATAGATTTATAACTTCCCCACTGGTATTTGTGCAAAGTGAATGCAACAAACTAGATTGGAATTTAAACTTGGCTAGCTGATTTCTTGTTCCAACCCACTAGCCTTTTATACCACCCACATATCCAATCCAGCATGATAACAATTCTTTCAATCACAGGAAATCAGGTAAACATTTTATTAGAGTCAGTGACTTTGAAAAATGCAGAATTTTTTCTAAAAAAAAAAAAAAAAAAAAAATTTGCTAAAAAATGGCTGATGCTTGTGATGTGAAAGGCTATAAACTTACCGCTCTTATTTTTTGATAATGTCGTGTATGGATGTCAGTATTTACAAAAATTGTCACAGAAACAAAAAATTCAAAATTCTTTTTAAAATACTGTCGGAGCGGAGTCACTGAATTGTATTAAGCTTTTCCATTATAGTTTTTTTTTTTTTTAACAATATCACCTAACTTGTATAAATTAATACAGAATTTTAAGATTTAAAACTTTATAAATTATTATAATTTTTTCATCATTCATAAAAAATTTTTCTTAAGACAATAGTGTCCATAATTATCTTATTCGTAAAACTAAAGTAATTAAAAACTTTTCTAATTAAATGAGGTCTTAGTTTTATTCCATTTATTTTTATTTTATGATTCAGAGCAGGTGTCCCATTTTATAAAAAAATATTAATGATTTAAAAATTCTCCAAGGACTTGTGCTTACAATTAATATAAGCATTAAGGCATATAAAAATGAATTTCTCGAAATTCTAATAAAATCAAATAAGTGGAGGGTAATAGATGTAAAAATAAATGTGTTGCACTGCAAAATGACACTAAAACTTCCCATAATTATGCCATGGTCCGCTGACGCAAGAAAAACATTTTTTACCAAAATTTTGAAGGTCCGAAAAAAGATTTAAAAATATACAACTTAATAAATATCCTCTTAATAACAAAGATTTTGACGATAAAACTTTGTTTTTATTAAGTTTGGAGCATTTTTTCATCATGTATGTTCACTTTTTTAGCGAGTTTTGAATGTACCTATCCGCTCCGAACTTTAATTCCGACTGCATTTGTTCTTTTCACTTATTTCCTTACTTTGGATCTATTAAAATTCAATGAATACGTTAGTTTGTTGTTACTATGCGTTGTTAACCCATAGTAACAACAAACCGTAAACGTCTGGAATACTAGTAAAATCACAGTTGTAAAATTAACAGAATGTGGATCGGATGAGCACTGAAGTCTATTAAATAGAAAATAATAGTGATTCTTATTTATAAATCTCTTTACATATATGATAACAGGGAAAGATATCTTTTTTTAGTCTTATTTTATTTTTGTGTGAAGTTGAGATCGATAAAAGGTTTCTAAATAAAAATTCAATGGGTCTACAAAGCCAGAAAGAAACTTAATTTTCCACTCAATCTAATTTCAATAATGCAAAAAGTTATAATTTCTTATTTTTATTGTGTAAAAAGCTCCGTGCGAAACGTAAAAAACTTATAATCTATTACTAAATGTAATGACTTTTTTTTAAATCCATGGTTTCCGCAAATTTGACAAGTGTCCACGAGATAGTAAATATAAATGAAATGCGTACATAAACTCTGTTAGTGTTACATGAGAAGACTTAAACAGAAACTGGTTTTAAAAAACAAAAATTTCTGTGCGCGTTATTCAATAAATTAAATTTATTGTTACTGGTTAAGCTTTAATTTTTTTTTTTATCTTCATCAGTAACAAAAATAAATTTATTAAAATATTGAATCAATGATGAATGAATAGACTTTTACTTTTATGATGGTTTTGAAGAAAAAAGTGTATTTGTATGAAGTTTTGATCCGAACAAAAAGTCTTAACACTCCGAGTGAATCGCTTGACAGTTCAAGTATTTAATTTATTTTTCAATAGTTTTTTATTTTTGTTTAAAATACAAAATGCCAAAAAATAGCAAAATATTTGTAACAGAAATACAAAAGTTTGTTACTTCTGTTTACAAACAAACTTTATCCTTTTGTTATATAAAGTTAAACGAACAGAAATTTATGATGAATTGAAATTTTATAGTGAAAAAAATTTAAAACAAATTGTTTTCCTCTCCTCCAATGTGAAAAGCAAAGTAAAGAGTAGAAACACCGGCAAAAAAAAAAAAAAAAAAAAAAAACAAAAACGGAAGCCTTTTTTAAGCCAAAAGTTCCTCTCACAACATTAGTTGCTCAATTACAAATTTATGTTTACTTTTAAATCATGGCACACAGTTTCATTTACGTACCTCGATCAAATATACTAGGTGAAATGCTGTTAGTCGAAGTTGAAATATCCCGCAAATTCAAGAGGTGTCATGATGAACTCAAACAGGAAGTAATGATAGACCGGCGGCAGCTGCTGCTGTTACTTCCTTTCGACAACTAGAATTAGCAGCAGCAACAACCTTTTCAGCCAGAAGTTTTTTTGACCATCAATTCTTGAGCAATTTATCAGTCACAAGGACAAAAAAAAAATTCATCTGTATTACACTTCCTAGTCTTCATATATACAAGGAAGAAGCGAGTCATTTTTTTTTTTAATGTCGTGATTATATATTTTTATTGTATTCTTTATACCCTAAAGTTGAAACTTGGAGGAAAAGAAAGTTACCTCGTCTTTCTGAACATCTGAACTTAAATCAGTCTTTTGACTGACTGAACAAGAAAGACTAGTTTGGAGAAAAAAAATTTCTGGTTCAAAGCAAATAATGTACTATTAAAAATATAACCAGTCACAAGTTTATGTAACAATGTAAATCCTCAGTTGATTTTTATGACATAAATACATTTTGTTTTTGAGTATGGAAGTAGTAGTCTGTCCTTGGAATCTTTAGATTTGAACAAATACCCCGCCCCAATTTTTACTTTTCGTTTTCCAAATTGATGTTCAGCAAGATAACTACTTCCCTTGCTGTACCTTAGAAATTCACATTCATCAAATCTAAGTTTGTTTGTTTTTTCTCAAATTTTATTCAAGAAAAAATTCCAAGCCATCTCTTTAAAATACACACGTGTGCAATATTCATCAGGGCAAAAATGGCTCCTAAGCATGATAACTTGTGACAAATTGGAAGATACTTTTTTTTAATTAAAAAGTGTCTTCCAATTTGGCAACTTTTAAAAAAATCTAAAACGCGAATACAAATGAATTAGCTTGCTTTGTTAAATGTAATACTTTGTCAAACGTGTCACTTAGTGGTTTGTTTTTTGGTGAATTTAAGGTTTAAATAAAAATCTAAAGTCAAAAAAAAAAAATTCTCTTAAAATACCTCAAAACTGCATTTTTCTTTAGTTTTTTTTTTTTTTTTTTTGTATTATGGAAAATCATTAGATCTTTCTCTTTTTTTAATGCTAAGACCTAGTCACTAGGTCCTAGTGCCAAGAAAAATCAGAAACTGATATTCCTCATTGTTTTTCTAAGTACTTAAAATTGTAATTCTAGGAAAACAATAGATAATGTTGATATTTTTTTTTTTGTTGGTTCGCCTTTACCCAACATTTTTATTTTAAGTATTTAAGTTGTATAATGTTCTCAATGAAATCTGGTTCTTGTATTATTTACTGTCTTTAAGCATAACAAAAGAAAGCAGAGACTCTCAACTCGAAATTTTTACTTCAACCATTTATCTTTTAAAAGCGTGACGGTTGTATCTGCAATATATAATTTAAAAATTTACTTAACTGGCCTTATTGTGTTACATGAAAGTTCACAAACTGCTACGGTTATAAAATAAGTTTTGCTTAAAGGAGTAACATTTCTACTTAATTAAAATAGGCACCTTTCTAAATTCAGCTATTTTTACTGATGTTTTTATTATTCAAAATTCAAGTATGTTTACCTACCATCTATTTCGTTTTTTAAATTTGTAACTTGTTTGTCTTGTTAAAATCATGAAATGTTTCTATTTTTTTTCTCTCCCTACTTACCTAAAAATGCAGATGAGTCAAACAAATCCTCAGCATAAACTGATGGTAAAAATTCTTGGAGACTAATTTTTTGAGCAATTCTGGTACTCAACAAATAAGATAAACAATTATTTCAACACCAAGCTAACTAAATTTGTTATCTGTAACACTAACAGTCTGAATCAACGCTATATTGTATTTTTTCCTTTCTAAAATCAAAACATCGCCAAGAACATTTCTGCCTTACAGGTTTGATAGCTGAGGAGAGTAAGTCAAACAAAAATGCTATGGTGATGTTTAGTTTATCAAATTTTAATCTCTTGAGAAAAATATTCAATCGTTTTTACTTTTTGGTCAATAAGTTTCATTTCATCTATTAGATAATCTTTCCAGCATAAAAGTAATATTCTTGAATAACACTTTTTATAGTCTTTTAGTGAATAATTTAATTAATTGTTAAATCACGCTTATTTCCATTAGAAATCCTGGAATGTCTCACAACTTAATAAGAAAAGTTATTTAAATGGAAATTAAACATTTTATTGAAAAGGTAGGTCTTCACAATCACATGTTCACAAAAGCTTTTTTTCACGTTGTAATGTAAACAATTATTGATTTGAACCAGTAGTTCTATTAGTCATTTGAATTAAATTCTTTAATGTTCTATTTTAAAATAACAGTATCCTAGCAACAGCACAAAAAAAAACAAAAAAACAATGAAGCCTCTTTTAAGGCTTTTTGCATGTAAATTTGAAAAGGGAAATACGAATTGTCTAACACTAACACATGTGATTAGTGTACACTGTAATTGCTAAATGTTTCAAAATCAATTAAAATTATACTCCTAAAAAATTTCTGTCTGACAAACTGACATTTAAAAAAAAAAAAAGTATTGTTAAAGAAAAAATGAGTTGCATAAATGCCAGGTGTGAAGAAACAAAAAGTGGTACAATTACAATACATTCTTTAAGTTATAATAACCTCCTTTTTTACATATAAACATTAATTTTAAGATCTATAAATTCTGATTTTTATCACTTGGGTTTTGAAAGTGTCATAAAAAAGGTACACAGCATTGCCTAGATAAAAAGTCAATATCAGAAAGTAATGTCACCAAATCCAAAATAGTTCATGTTCAACCAAATTTAAGTCATTTTTATTAGCTACTCTGATTTTGAATCAAATTAATTAAGATTGTTATAGAAAAATGCATAAAAAGAAAGGTTAATGCCAATGGTTGTTTAATTTTATTAAAAAAAAAAGTAAATGATTAGTAATAGTTCAACTTCAAAATGTTTACAGCAATGAAAAGAGATCTTTAATTTATTTTTGGAAAAAAAAGACATTTTTATTGACAAAATTAGCTGATAATGCAAAGTGGCACATGACCTGGAGATAATAAAAACTTCTACAGCTGACTGATAAAATTGCAATGGATTTCTTATCTAATCTCTCACAATTGAATTTATTGTTTCTAAATTTACATGCCATATACTGAGAAAAGATTTTTTAGGTTTACTTTTATGTTTTGATAAACGAGAAGACCGATCTATCTGTATGTTTGTGATCTATGAATAATCGTTTAACACCGGCTACAGTACGTCGTCAATAGTAACATCTACCGGGTGAATTTAAAAGAGAAAAGAAAATGAGCAAATTAATTCAAATAGAAATAAAATAAAAATAAAAAAATTCCTTAAACGTTAAACTTTGATTTACAATACGTTATCGATTGAACGAGTATTAGTTTTATTTTTAACGTTCAAAAAATTACTAGAAAATAGGCATAAGGAAAAAAAACAATTTTAATTATTTAAAAAGAAGTGGTGAAATACAATTTACATAAATAAAAAGTTTATTTTGAATTTATGGAAAATTTGACCCATAATGTCAGATATTTAAAATTCAAATGTTAGTTACAATTTTGGAATAAGGTTTCGAAAATTGGACGTCAACAGAAAACGAAAATAATAGAGAATAACTTTTTTTCTTTTTTTTTCTATTTTTGGTGATAGTGGGCCCCCTCCCCCCGTAGGGTGAAGGGAAATAAATACCGATTAATAAATTCAAACCTTTATTTCCCCTCAAACAACAAAGCTGCCAGACAAATATCTTCCTAAAATAAAATCATTTCATAAAATGCTTTTTTTTATTTACAATTTATCTGGCTGGCTTCGTTTGGATCGTCTCTGCTCGTGTTTTAACGTTATTGTCTGTTTTCTGGTCAATGTTCAATCTCTTCCCCCGCAACTGATTGCTTTTTTTTTTTTTTTTAGTTTACTTTATTTTTTTTTAAATTTGCTTTTCCGACTTAACTCACTTTTTTAAAAAATGTTTTTATGCATTTACTACATTTTATATGTAAATAAATGCATGCAAAACCTATTGAAACAAGGTAAAAATCTGTATTTATTGAATTAGTTGAGGAGAGAGACTCAATTTGATTGTTTTCTTTTAAGTTTAGTAATGCTTATAAAAACCAAAGGTCTTTTTGTTTTGTTTTTAAGAAGTATGTTTTTACTCGATGGATGAAATAAACTCAAGTATTATATACCGGTTACACATCTTTTCCTTTGTGGAAAAAGCGGCATCAAAAGACACTCGGGGAGAGCAAAAAACAGTACTTGATTTGGAGGAAAAATAGAGAGATTTTTTTTTTAAATTTCGTATTTAATTTATTGTTATTTCTATTATTTTTTAAGATTTAAAAAAACAAAAGTAGTTTGATAATAATAAAAATCTTATCGTTGAGAAATTTGAATAAAAAAAATTCTTCAATTTCCTCTGCTTAAAAATTTTTTTTTAATTTTTTTTTTTCCGTTCTCCCTTATTTTTAGGTTGAAAAAAAGAAAAGTATTTTTACAAGATCATTTTTATCGAGTTTATCCCTATTAAAAAGGGAAGAAATTGTCTACATAGACATTCACTTTCCCCTCCTTTTTTTTAAATGTTAAAACTGCAAAAATAAATAAAAGCACACAACAAAACTTACTTATTTAACATTTTTAACTTATTTTTTTATTAATATATTTCTCGTCACAACATACAATTTACAATTTTACATTAAATAAATTGTACCCAACACACGCAATCCCCATTCTTTTTGTTGTACTCTACATGCCAAAATATTGTAATAATTCCATAAAACACAACCTCTTTCTCCTTTCTTTGATCGTAAGAGTGGGGGCAACTTTTTTTTCAGGTGGAGAAAAAGAGGATTGATAATCTTACCGTTTGCTGGTCAAATTGTGCATCAGTATCGGTCATTTTGTATGCCTGTAATTATCCGTTAAACTTTAAGAATATCCAGAAGGCAGAAAAGTAGTCTGCGATCAAAATCAACAATAACATACACGACGTCTTGTTGTCTGCTGCTGACAAGGTGGAGCCATCTTCAGCAAGCGCTTTAAACCCTACCCCTACATAAGTACGGAACATCAAAAATACAACAAATTTTTGCTTTGACTTAATGTTTCCAAACAAACGATAACTATAATTTAAAAAAAAAAAACAAATGAATAAAATAAGCAATCTAAAATGAGCATTTCCTCTGAATAACTTATAAATTGGTTTTAAACGATATTTTAATTTTTTAAAGAATGATATGAAGGGGAGGTAAATGCTCTAAGGATATTATGGAAGCTTGGAAGTGACAACTCTTCAAAATGAATGTTTTAAAATGTTTCAGCAGGTGAGACATACAGCGTGCATTTGTAAATTATATATAATTGGGAAAAAGTGTATACCATTGTAAAGAAGTAGACTTTGAATTTAATATTTTTCAACTTAGTCATTTCATGAATTATCAGTATTCTCAAAGTTGATTTTCAGTAAATACTTTTTTAGCTGATGCATTCTTTGGTTTTCCACAAGTATATGCTGTATTCATTCTATTCTACACATTCTTTTTTAGTTTACCAACCTTTGGCAAATGTTCCAAGATGATTTGTAGCAAAATAAATTTAAAAAAAAAAAAAAAAGAAATTCTGGATAAGATCATGAATATTGGATACTGCATAAACTTGAGGAAGCCAGAGAAAACATCAGATAAATTGTAGTGATCAAAACAACAAAAATGAGGATGCTGGTCTAAATAATTGAAAATATGGGGTTCTAAAATTGTAATACATTTTTGAAGCATAAAATGTTGAACACTAAAAATGCAAAAATAAAATATACTGTAAATAATATTTTGTTAAATGTTTATTCTACCTGAGGGAAACCAATTCTGTTTTTATAGATACATATATGCAGACAAAGCCACAATAAGGAAAAACAATTATTACTAACATCATTAGTTAAAACCATTTCTACTTGTTTAGAAGTAACATCATCAGGTTTAAACATATAATGCTAATATTAACTGTTTCCTTATAAGGAAACATTTGGCATTCAGTGACCAAAAAGCTAGTGCTACTTTTGGTTGAAATTTATAAAATCTTTCTATTAAAAATTTTTTCAGGAAAATGAGTTTCAAGTTCAGTAACTGTTATCACTTTTTTCAGTATTGATGGGGGTTTCCTTTGTAACCTTTTGTTTGAAATAGGATGGAATCTAAATATGATTATCCCATTATTTTCTTTTTGAGTTACATGTGTTATTCATTTCTGTTGTTTTCTGCTGTTGAATGTTTTCAAGTAATGTAGCTTTTATTTGATACAGTTTTTTATGATCCTGTAGCATCAGTACATAACGTTCAAAGACTTCATTCACTCAAATTCATTTTTAACCATTTATCAGAGAAAGTGATTGATAGTTTAGATGTTTCTGAATGAGTTTGGTACTATGCATGATATCAATATGAAAGTCTTGGTCTGACAAGACTATTTAAGGACATGATTCGAGCTTTTGATTTTGTATCAGTTTGTTACAGCTCTAGCTAACATTGTGATATCTATCCATAAATAGAAATTTTAAAATCTGATTACAAATTGAACCACTTATTTTTCATCTATCGTGAATTGCATGAATATTCTTATCTACTGCACCGCCATGGGTTCTCATGCTCACTGAAATTAATCAACGTCAAGCCTGGTAAGTACCTAGATAGGTGACCACTTGGGAATACCAGGTGCTATAAGCTTAGATGTGTGGATAATGTAACTTGGAAATCAGAGAGTTGAATTGCAATTTCAGTCGGTTTTGTTATATTCACTTACAAATCCTACCAGTTAACCCATAGCTGGGTAGAGAAAAAGTAGATTCATACCTTTCCCAAGAGTATTTGTATCAGTAAATCATTATTCTTTTAATCTAGAAGTATTTTATAGCTTTAAATAGCCTGCAAAAAGTTGATAGGCCATGAAAAAACAAACAAACCACTGTGGTTTGTTAGATGGTGTTATTTTGCTATCCTTAGGAGATTTTTGGTTGTGTTTTCCTTTATTTGATTGATATCAATATACAATTCTTCTACTAAAATAGAGGGAAAAGCTGTAAATACCATATAGAAGTATGGTAAATATATAAGACAATTTGGAAATCTTCAGTTTGACATTTTGTCAGAAAATGAATTTTATTCCAAATCTCCACTGGTGAGAATTAATTTCATAGAATGATTTTTTATTTACAGTTTATCAATGCTTTGTGGGTTATTTAAATTTTATATGCAAGTGAATATTGCATTAATAATTTTTTGAGAATAACAATGATTTATCCAGATAAAAGTTCTACTATTTAACCCATAGCTGGTGGTGGTGTGAGATGGATTTGTATCTTCCCTGTTGATCTAATCTGATATAACTTCACCAGGCAAATACAATTATATCTCCCCAGTGGGAAAAGCCATAGGTTTATGCAGTTTTAAAACTATATTCTTTTTTTGGCCAAAAGACAATTTGCTATCAGTGATCAGAATCTCACTAATGAAATCCTTCCAATCAAAAAAGTTACTTTTAGTACAATCTGTATTTGATGGACAATATTTATTTTCATTATCATTATTATTCTAATTAATTAAATTTTGCGATTCACTTTTGTTTTCAATTTCTGTTTTCAACTGTGTTTTGATTCACTTTCTTGATCAACATGATCTTCGGCTTTAATATCTATAGCATGGATTGTCCACTTTCTTTGTGCTATAATAGATAAAATAAGTCTAAGAGATTGCTTTTCACAAGTAGAAGTTTTCTGTATTTCATTTATTATAGCACAAAGAAAGTGGACAATCCATGCTATAGATATTAAAGCTGAAGGTTATCAGTTCAATACTTGTGCTGGCTAGTAAATATACATTTGAGCTATTTAACAACTTAACATTCCCCAAGGCTATCTGCATGTAAGCTAATGTAATGACCCCAAGTGGAATTCAAACTCGGCTCTTCGATTTCTCATTCTGAGCCACTATCCATCATCACTTCCACCTGGTGAGATAAAGCTTGATTCATGTTCAGCAGCTGAATGCTTGATTTTTACTTTAACTATATCATTATAGAATTTAGATTTGAATTAATTTCAAATCAGTTTTATTTTTATTTATTTATAGAGAAGTATATTTTGATGTTGCAGCTCAGCTTGTTTTGCCCAAAACAATGTTATGTTTCATCTTCTCATACAAATGTTTTAAAACCTCCACAAAAAAGTTTATATTACTATACCTGTTGAAATAAATTTACAGTACACAATTCTTTAGACATAAAATTACACATTTAGGCTTGTTTTATTTTCTTTCTGTGTGTGAGGACTGCATCTTGGTTTTGATTTTATATCTGCAACTATAATTTCATTGCCAGTAATAATGCTTTACAAGTTTTGTTTTGATAGGCTAATCAGGACAAAACTTGTAAGCATAGGGGGAAATGATTATGTTCCCTTTTGAGGTAATTCAACGATAGGCAGAAAATATGTAGCATCAAAACAAGACATCATCAAATTTTTAGTGAAATTTTTTCTGACATGAATCATATAAAATACAAAGATGGATCAATAAGTTCATAATCTTAATTTTGATCTGAAATTTACACTATATATATTTTTCTTTCTATGTGATTAAAAATATGTTAGATTGGCAAGAAAGCAGATTATGTCTAAAGATAACTATTTGTTGTGCAAGATCAGGCCTAAAAATGTGAAGGGCCACATTGCTTCCAGAAAATTAGTCATGGGCTGCAAGAGGATATTTTTAGACTGAGTGGAAAAATGGCACAAAAGTACTAATATATCCCAAAGGTGGCATGTCTTAATCACGAACATAGAGTGCGTATTATTTTTCAGCATTAGTTAAGCAGATGTTGACTGTTTCTTTTTATATTTTGAGGTAAGAAAGATTTCAATTTAGTTTTAGAATTATATCTGGCCATATCTTTAGTACCTGGTTATGTGTTTTTTTTTAGATATCCCAATATTTAATATTTTTAAAAGATTTATTATAACTCAACAATAACAAAGCAGCATTGGAAAAAATAACTACTTTTTCAGTCTTGTATCCCACCAATGACTAACATCAAAATAGGAAATCAGATTTTCTCAACCTCCCCATTACACACACTTTTTTTCAAGTGGAGGAGAGAGAAATGCTGGCTCTCTACTCATCTATTTCCATTACTTATGCATGAGTTTCAAAAGGGTTTCTTCACTAGTGTTGCAAACTTGAATTTGATTCAACTCTAGTCTGATTGAAACCACTGAATAGGATGTTTAGTGTGAGATAGAAACATGTATAGAGATAGTGAGGGTGAGAAAATTCTTTTTTTTTCTATAGAGATTTAAAGGGATTAATTAGATATAAGATAGTTAAATATTGTTTACACTATTTACATTGTTTGAGCTGTTGTCCTCCTTATTGTCACATTCACAATATTTCGGCCATTGTATGCTCTGGTCTTCTTCAGGTGATATTTGTTTGAATTTCAAACCGAACGCAGAATAATCAGTCTGTATATTGATGTTTCTGAAGATTGGTTCAATAACATTTCCTGAAATGGGCTGATATATAATCTTCACATTTCTGGGTCGTTCAGTAAAGTCATTGAGAATCTGTTCCATTTCCTCCATCCACCTCTTGCAAATATTGTGACAGGGATTGGCAAAGGTCAAGTTCTTTTCCCACAGTTTGTTGTTGCTCCACTGTTCATAGATAAGAATTGCAAGTCTGTGCTAGTTGCTGCACTTTGGGACTTAGTAGAAAAAATTGGATTTTCTTCAATTGGAGCTATCTTCTGCAGCTTTTATTCCCACTTGAGTCCTGCTAATTATTTTGTTGGCTTTAGACAGAATAACATTGTAACTAGTCTGACAAATAGGGAACACATTGCATAAGTCAATATGGC